GAAAGCAGGCTGTGCAAGCCATGGAAAGCAAACTGTACTCCTCCATGCCCTCTGATTCAGTTCCTGCCTCCAGGTTCCTGCCTTGAGTTCCTGTACTGACTTCCCTCTGCGACAGAAAGACCCGAGAGTTGTAATCTGAAATAAATCCTTTCTTCCCCAAGTTGCTTCTGGTCCTGGACTTAACAGAAGCCCTCACTGAGACAGGCCCCTAGCTGTGTCCCCTACTCACCTGCTCTGCTTGTCTTCTCTGCATCAGCTCCACAAATGGTTCCTGCTCTTTAGACAACAGCAGGCCGGAGGTGGCCCCTGCAGTTATGCCTCTCACCCCCATGGCAACCAGAGAGAAGATCCGGTCCAGGTTCCATGGCAGCCATGACCTGATCCACCGTCTGTTTGTCTGCATTTCAGGTGCGAGATCTGAGCCCCGGGCATGAGTGTGGAGACGGGGCTGGCCTAGCTTGCCCTGGTTAAAGTGGAAGGCAATGTGATCTGCAGAGCAAGCCTAGGGGTGGGACTAAGTGTGTCCTGTAGGGAGGAAGGAGCTCTGTAAGTGAACATGGGGTAGTACTTTCCTCCAGGGGCGGCTGGAAGTGATGGGCTCAGGTCCTGGACCACCTCAGGGTGGGAGTTACCCTGGGATCCATGGCTATACAGAGCCTGTTCTGTGACTCTGTAGTCAAAGTTACTCAGAGCAGTGTATGTAGTATGGGGTACTAGTAGAAGGTAGACATGTCTGGATGTCCTTGTTTCTACGATGGCAACAGGGGCTGCCATAGGCACAGTGTTATGGGGACCTCTGTGGGTATCTCTTGGCAAGCAGTCACCATAGTATAATTGTGGTGGTTGTGACCCTGGATAAGTTATATATCTATGAGAGCAGCAATGTTGGGATTGACCAGGAAGCTCTCATTCCTTCCTATCCTCTCTTGATTCCTGAGTTTGTACTCATGTCAAGGGAATCCTCTCATAAGGATCCATGAGCTTTGGGTGTGTCCTATCCAGCAAATGGCAGTGTAGTCTTCCAATGTGGCTGGCTCAACCCAACCATCTGTCTTCCTGTCACTTCTCCCATGGGCTTCTCTATCAGGTGTAGCTGACCAGCTGCAGACGAACTATGCCAGCGACCTGAGAAGTATTCTCAAAACGCTGTTTGAGGTCATGGCCACCAAGCCAGAAACAGATGACAAGGAGAAGTTAAAGAAGGGTAAGTGCTGCTGGGGGACAGGCTCTGAGGCTCCTGCCAACCGCTGTGTCCACTGTCCCCGATAAGGGAGCATGCAGGACATCACACCCCCAGAATCTGCTGGAACAATGTTCCAGGTTGTCCGACTTGAGGAGATGGGTGTATAGCCTGGAGAAGTGACTCCCCATGCCACTTTGCAGGTGGGTCCCTGGCTCTGGTTCTTGCATAGACTGTAGCAAGCCATCCAACTTTTTACTGCAGACAGAAGTTGTGGACCTGCCTTCCATCTGAGACTAGACCAGTTGACTAACACTCATCTGTCAAAGTGTTTGGAGACCAGCCCAGCCTGAGTGAAAAACGGGGACACTGGCCCATCCCACTATGAGAGGGTGGCAATATCTACTCCTAGCTGCCTCATATTTATACATATTCAACTCATTGGAGGCATACATATGTGCTGTCACATTTACATATAGATGCGTATATGTACACATTTTTATATACATGCACACCTTACACACACAACAGGTAAATTGTCCCTGTAGGGTCCTTGGTAGGAACTGGAGCTAGACACGCCTCATGCTAGTCTGAGGTACCTGTTTGGGGAGTGCTACATCTTTGTACATTCTTCTGTCCATGAGCTATCTGGGTATATGGAATAACCCAGCTAGTCCTGGGAGTCTGGCCCAACAGGGCATGTCCTTCTGCATCAACCAGCTCTGCCAACTGGCCAAATTCTGACTGGCAGTCCAGGCAGGTCTGCCTTCTGGAAATCCTGAGTCAAGTTGGTGGTAAGGGCAGGCACCTTGGTCATAGTCTGGACAGGGTTCTCAGATGCCTTGGCTTTAAGCTTCTGCCTTGGGGATCATAGGCCAGGAAAGCTTACCGGTCAGTGTAAGGGCCCAGAGCTAGATGCTCATGCAGGGGGAGCCACCAAGTGCCCCTGGGATTCACCATGCTATACAAAGGACGGACCCTTTTGTAGGAAGAACTTTGTCCGCATTGGCATCCTACCTGCTGAGATGACTTGCTCTGTGTACTGAGAGATGGTGAGGGGGCTTGTAAGGAGCTGGAAAGTTAGAGGCACTAAGGACAATCAGTTGCATCTACTGCATTGCCTACCAACCCCAGTGGCTTCCTTCTCTCTTACAGTAACCCAGACCCTACGGAGTGCAGCCTTGGAGGACTGTGCACTATGCCAGGAGATGGTGTCATCCTCAGAACTGGCAGCCAAGACTCGAGATGGGGACTTTGAGGGTATGTGGGAATCTCTGGTATGGACCTGACATGCTGTGTGCTGAGCAGAAGGAGCCACTCTGTGCATGTTCATCTGGATACCAGGCCGATGGGGATACAGCATCCCATGGGAGGTGGCCTCCCACTCTGTACCTCCTTCTTAGTACTAGTGTGTGCAGCTCCTTTACTGCTTTGTAACCTCGGGCCTGTTGTTTCGCAGCTCAGCCTGGTAGGTACAAGCTCAGGGATGAGGAGCAAGGATTGGTTATGGCTACAATACCCAATCCCCCAGTGCTTCACCTGCACTGAAGGAGTCTCACACAGCAGCCTCAGGACAGTCTGGGACATTAATAGGAGCTTTGGGAAGGGGGGGTTCAGAAGCCTTCCTTGTGGTGAGGGCAGGTCCTGCAGACTGACATGGAGTGGGCTGGAAGCTAGGCAGCTCGGATGTCAGGGGAGAGGAATCCTGGGCTATTTGGTAATACTGCAGTGCATCTAAGGGAGCGGCCCAAGACTTTGGGAAAAGTATGCTACTATAGCGTTAAAGGTGTGCCTGGGTCAGGGAGTGCTGCATTAGGTGGCTAAACAGTGACCAGAATGAAGGTCTTAGTTAGGGCATGATCACTGATTCTGCTGTATATCCTGAGTCCAGATGGCCTGGCCTGGAGCCTGCGCCTGGGGTGTGACTCTGTCCACGGACATTGTAGCTAGTCACAGGTAGTGACTGACAAGTCTAGAACAGGACCAGAGGAGTGAGATAAGGGGTGTCTATCCACCAGCCAGGCCTCTACCCTTTCCCTACCCCCAACCCACCACTCTGTATGTCTGACGCTCTTGTGACAGACCCTCCTGAGTGGGTGCCAGATGAGGCCTGTGGCTTCTGCACCTCCTGCAAAGCTCCCTTCACCGTCATCCGCAGGAAGCACCACTGCCGCAGCTGCGGGAAGGTGGGTGGGGCCCCACTGGCCCTCTGTATCTTTGGGGTTGTGTGGGGACTGTCCCTGGCACAGCATCAGGGTTTAGAAGTTAGGGCTGATGCTCTGGTAATCCAGTCAGGGTTTTGTAGTGCTTATGCAGATGCCCCTCCAGGTTCGAGGCTCTATTCTGACTCCACCATGTAGTAGGCCATTCCTAGGTAGTATCCAGGCTCAATCCTGGCCCGTCTGAGGTGAGGACAGGGAGGGGGTGGGGGCTTCAGAAGGAGCTATAGTGGTTATGGGGAAGGGCCTAGTCACTTTCAAGAAACCTGACCTATTAGGCCCGCCCTACCCAGAGTTTCCTAAAACTCCAGCTCCTTAGTCTGAAGGGTCTGGGTCAGGCTGACTCCTGCCCACCATTGTTTTGGATGGTCTGGGTGGGAGGGCTGAGTAAAGGGGCTGACAAAGGCCCTGTCTGCTCACTGCCTTCTGTCCCTCCTTGGCTTCCAGATCTTCTGTTCCCGCTGCTCATCACACTCAGCACCACTTCCGCGATATGGACAGGTGAAGCCAGTCCGTGTGTGCACACACTGCTACATGTTCCATGTTACACCCTTCTACAGTGACAAGACGGGCATGTGATGGTGTGCCTGGCATGTCCCAGCTGAGCGGCTGGAGACTCCTGGACAGCGGCATCATGTCTGCCTTGAGTCCTAGCTAGGGTCTCCAGGAAGGAGGTGCTGTGCCTGCTGCGTGTCCTGCTCAGGCCGTGTGCAGGGGGTCTCAGTGCATCTCACCAAGCTTCTGCTGCTGCAGGCCTGCCCCAGTTTCCAGAATGTTCAGAGCCTCTGTCTACTCTCCCTGGCCTCTCCGCCTGTGCAGACACCATCCTGGCATGGGGCCAATGAGAGGCCAGCTTTATGCAGAGGAGGGACCCAGGGATGCCCAGTTGCTGCTTACAAGTCAGGGTACCTAGCCAGGCAGGGTCGGACTCTCTTCTCTTGCCCATCTAATGGCGCTTTGCTCCAGCTGTGCGTACTAAGGCAAGAAGGACCAATTCTCTATGTGCTCCTTTGTAGCCGAGAATCTGGAAGGAGAAGTCAGGAGACTCCAGGCTCCCACATCATAGCAGGACTCCATGCTGTTTACCACCCCTCTCATTCCCTAGTGCTCACTGCCTGCCTTGGGACCCTGCTCAACATGTGTCTCGTTTCTCTTTTGAATGGGGAATGTAGGAAGCAGACACAGTGGTCTCTTGGGGAAGCAGGCAGGCTCTTGGCATCTACACCATTGCCACTTGCTGGCAGAGCAGGGGCTGACCACCCGCTGATACCATAGGCTGAGCTCTCAGGTGTTTGGGACTGGACTCATCAGGCAGCCACCATTTGGCTAACATTTCCTTCTTCCACTGCACCCACTGGGACTCTAACCCACTTCCTCAGACCTCAGTGCAGCCTGGACAGGCTGAGACGCACAGACACCTCCTCAGGCTTCAATCTCAGGCTTCACGTTGCAATGATGATTACAGTTTTATTTTTAGAGAGATGACACACCTACTGCTTCTTTTATAGGATGAAATCCAATCGCTGTTCAGCAGTGGAATACACATGCACAAAAATGGCTTCTGTGCAGGGGCGGGGGGAGAGTATATAACAGAGGGAATATTATGTATTGAGATTATTTTTATTTTCTAAATGCTGTAATTCGAAACCATTTCCATAAATCTATTTAAGGATTGCATACGCTCTGGCATCTTCTGTGAACACTGAATTCTTGTCTCTGCTGGGTGGATGATGGTGTTGGTGCTGATGTGGAGTTTCTTCTAGAAGACTGGAGCATCTGTGCCTTGGGGACAATTGAACAACAGAATTTGTCCTCCTGTCAACATTCAGAAGGGGCTGGCTATCCCCCTCCCCCACAAGCCTACCTCCATCTTGGAAGGGTGCCTCACTCCCTAGCTTCTCTGTTAGGGTGCCTGACTCCCCAGCTGTTGCCCATCCTGCAGCTAAGACCTCTGGCCTATGTTAGGGGAAGAGGCAGGGCATCTGCCTTTGGCCACTCCACCTTGATGGTGTTTGTCTTAGATCTGTACTAACCAGTAGCCTGGAGACTGCCTCTTGGGCTATTCTGGGAGAACACAAGAAGCTGGTCCAGGTCAGGATTGTCATAGTGACAGGGCCCGAGTTGCTGCTGTTGGGACCTGAGTCCTTGAGTCCTTTTAATTGTCCAATGCCTTGAAGGTGGGAGCCTGGATGACAAAAGTTGGGGAAGCAGAACTGTGAGGGGCAGCAATGCCTATCACACCTGGTTTCTGGTGAGAATGTATTTTAAAGTGAGGTTCCCTCTGAGTGGAGCAGAGCCAAGGGAGCATAAGAAAGGAGAGCCCAGGTAGGAGAGTGATCATACTTCCCAAGGCTGGATGGACCCTACCATTCTGCCCACCTGGACATAATGCAGAGAAATGACCCTTATCTCACCCACCTCCATCCCAGTGTCTGTGTCATTGGCTGGACAGCTGTACCACAGTGGCATTACAAGCTGTTGAGAAGGCTCTCTGCTAACCAGGAAGCCAGTACCCTACCAGAGCCCACATGGCACATGTGTACCTCTGTGCACACTACAGTATAAAGAAATGTACTTCACAAGCATTGTTTTCTAGACATGGTGTCCTTCTCTCCTACTGTGCCAGAGGAGAGAAAGGTCAGAATATAGCATCTTCCCTCTAGAGAGGCCTGTATCTGTGTGTGTGTGTGTGTGTGTGTGTGCGCTTGCGCGCGTGCACTCCTTCCCCATGTGAGGCTCATGAGAGGCCTTATGAGGCAGCCTTGACCTACCTTCGTGAGTTGGGTAAGGGTAGCTCCTCCATGAACTGGCCTGTCTTAAGGTCTGGGACCACAGGTAGCCGTCAATGAGGATGATCAACTGTCCCATTCACCATGATGAAGGAATTTCAGGTCTTCCATGATAAACTTAGGATATCTGGTCACTCCACCCTTCTATGGAGCTATCCCCACACCAAGAGCAGATCCAGGAGTAAGATATTTCAACAAGTCTCTGGAAGTCTCATCCATGGTTGGTGTTTGTGTCTGGGAACTCCTAGGGGGAGCGGAGACATGGAGCATTCTCAGAGATCCAGGTATGCAATCAGTTTTTTTTTGAGCTAGCCTCAGAACCCCCTTCATGTCATCCTTCCTGAACCTTAGTTTCCCCATTATGACCATCATTATTTTTCCAGAATTTTATATGCCCATGACAATCCCCATGGCAGTCCTTCAAGAGAGCGGGGTCCCCTGTCATGGACAGGGAAACCAAAGCTCATGAAGATCAGACAGCAGCTGAGCTGAGCTGTGTGCTTCAACCAGAATCCATCAAGAGGCTGCTGTAGAAGTGTCCAGAGAAATAAAGAACTCGAAGACGGGTCCAAGCTAGTTGTGCTGGGAGCCATCCTTGGAATTCGGGAGTTGTGCCAGCTCATGACCACCTCACCATGCTTGGCATCTAGCAGCAGGGTTTTAATTGTTCTCTGGCTATGCATAGTCCTGGGAAGGGAACTCAGCACTCTCCCAACATCTCTACCCCAGATCACAGTGACATGCAGGAGCCCACAAGTGCTCGGGGACCAGACTGCCTGAAGCTCTACTTGGGACAAACTGGCATTCGAAAGGTCTAGTGCAGAGATTGCTATGCCTGATCTTGGGTGCCGTGGGTAAATTGAAGAGAGAGCCACTTCTAGCTCCATGTCTGACGCATTAGCTACTTGTTGTGTGATGTTTTACTCTTTTGGCTTTTCAAGGGGCCCACCCAACACCCAAATAAATACACAGACTTATTCTTAGTTATGAGTACCTGGACTTAGCTTGGCTTGTTTCTTGCCAGATTTTCTCAACCTAAATTATCCCATCTATCTTTGGCCTCAGGGCTTTTATCATTATTCCTGCATACCTTTTCTTTCCTTCTTATTCTGTGTCTGGCTGGGTAGCTGGGTGACTGGTCCCTGACATCCTCCTCTCCTTGTTCTCTCATTACTCTCTTCTTCCTCATTTCTCCTTCTATTTATCCTCTCTGCCTACCAGGCCCACGTAGCCTTGCTCCTGTCTCGCTATTGACCATTCAGGTGTTTTAACAGGCAAAGAATCACGGTTTCACAGAGTTAAACAAATGTAGCATAAACAAAAGTCACACACTTTAAAATAATATTCCCCAAAAGCTACTATTTTGTTACTGTGATAAAATATCATGACTAAGACAATTTACAGAAGACAGTTTGGGCTTATGGACTCCAGAGGAGTAAGAGTCCATTATGGTATAGAAGCATGGCAGCAAGTGGAAAGCATGGTATCAGAAACAGAATTCTGGAAGTTTACATCCTTTACCACAGCTGAAGAAGAGAGACAGACAGACAGATGGAGACAGACAGACAGACAAAGACAGATGGAGACAGAGACAGAGAATTGAACATGAATCAAGACTATAAACAACCAAATCCCACCCTGCTAACATACTTTGTACAGCAAGGCCAAACCTCCTAAACCTTCCCAAACAATGCCACCATCTGGGGACCAAGTGTTCACATATCTGAGCCTATAGAAAACAGTCTCATTTAAATCACTAGAGTTCCACTTTGTCACCTCCATAGGGTCTACTCAGTGCCCACAGAAGTGGTTCTGGGGACCCATCTGCACTCATGATATTTCAAAGGTCCCCTTGATATTCATCATTTGTATGCTAACTTGTCCTCAGTCCCTGTCTGCCTCCCGCCAAGGACCCCAGGATAGCCCTGACTGGGAGGCAGCAAGGTGTCCCCACTGCACACTCAGTTTGAGTTCTGGTCTGAGTGGAGAAAAGGTAGAGCCCAGACATATAGTGACCCTGGCATGGGACTCTGAAAGACTTTTGGTGTTCCTGTGGTAATGATAGCTCTTGAAGCCAAGGGAAGTAAGAGTTTGAAGCCCTTCTCCCCTGTGTCCTTGACAGCCAGAATTCTGATTGCCACCAGGGGGCACTCCATGCCTCTTCAGCAATACTTCGCTTCTGGTGGCGGTGGTGGGGTGCTTACGTGCTGGGGCCACCCCACTGTGACTGGCACCCTAAGTCCAGACAAAATCCCAGCACAGATAGACCAGTGGCCATGCCCCAGTTTTCAAGATCCTGTAGGTGGAGGGGCCAGAGGAGTCTATAGCAGAGCAGGTACAGCAATGGCAGACAGCAGGGTAGATTTGCACCGGAAGCTATGGGAGTCCAGGAGGAAGAGCCCAGGCTAGATCTGGGTGTGTTTCACGGTAGGATTGGGGTGGGGCTAACAGTGGTCTCTGTGGGCCTGGTGCTGTCAGCACCCACAGAGCAAGCTGGAGGAAGTTATTACTCATGCCAGCAAGCTGGAAGAGGCAATAAGGCCCTACTCATGCTATCTCTAGCCAGAGTGTAGAAGTCCATGCTCCCTCCTAGGCTCACAAGGAGCCTTGTTTGATAGCAATGCTGACTCGCACACCAGAACACATAGAGAACAGCAGAGTCTCTATGGTTCATGTATGCCCTTCAAGAAGGAGGACCCCACAGTCATGAGTCCAGGAGTAGAGACAGGGCTAGCATGGGCCCTCCCTGGGCCTCTTGGCCAAAGCCTAGGTGGTTCAGCTGCTAGGAGTTCTGGCCCTCCCTATTGTGGAGACCCCATGGCAGTGAGTGAGTGTATTCATCCATATCCCTCATTTATGGACTTACTTTTTCTCTGAAAGCATTGGAGAGATTTGGACTTTTGGGGCTATATAAATTGTTAACTTATGCATGTTCCATTAGTATAGTGCAGAAAACTTGAAGAAAAAAATACTTCAAAAATCATTCACAAGTACAATGAACTGTTGTAAGAATAATATTGACATATTAGTTTTCATAGACCATTAATTACATTTTGATGCACTTTAATTTTCCTGTCTTCCTTTTGCATTCTGAACACAGTATTTTCTTGCATGTCAAACTTTCTGGAAGGCTTCCAAGTGCTCAGAGACTAGGCCTGGTACTTGTGACTGGCCAGCCTGGCAGCCTAGCCTCCACCCCAGGTTCTGACTGCTTGTGATTGGGTAAGCATGCCCCTATGGGCTCTACTACCCCATGGGCGTGGCCAGGGATTTGTAGTACTTTCTCCATTGGAGTGCTGCACATATGCCTGCTGTTTCCTGGGGCACTGCTTTGTGCTCAATCTCCTGCTACCTAGGGGTTTTTCCATGCATCCTTCAATGTGTCCAAAAGCTAGAGGTTATCATTTAAAAAACTGTGGCTTAAAGAGTCAAATTTTCCTAGAATCCAGAGTGGCTCTCAGGAATGGACTCAAACAGAACCTCCATACACTCTTCCTCGCTGTGGGTCTACAGGTAGCAGCAGATTCTAGAGGACTGAGCTCATCACGGCTCTCCAGGGCCTGCTGGGTTTACCATCCTACAGATCCAGACCTCTCCTCTAGGAGCTGATCACTAAGGGTCCAAGGAAAGGCAGGTGCAGGCTAAAGGATTCTGCCAGGTGGGTAAGCAAAACAGGATGCTAGGGCTGGGGCCTGATGGCTACCAGGTGTCTACTCCAAGAGAGGGGCAGGGGCAGGTAATCAGAGGTAGAGATGAAGTAGGCCCCAGCAACCTTCTGCTCTGACTGTGTGGGGCACTCCTGGTGCTCCTAAGAAGCCTGGCAATATTGCCATTCCTGGGCAGGGAGGTATAAGAGTGCTGTTTGCTGTAAGCTGGTGATCTGATCCCAGAGAAAGGAAGTCAGGACAGGGTAAGGGGGAAAAGACCTAAAAGCATTCTCCTAGAGGTTTCTCAACTCTTTCTCTCTCTCTCTCTCTCTCTCTCTCTCTCTCTCTCTCTCTCTCTCTCTCTTTCTCCCCCTCCCGTGTGTGTGTGTGTGTGTGTGTGTGTGTGTGTGTGTGTGTGTGTGTGTGTGTGTTGGAGAAGGGATCAAGCAGCCCTTTCCCATACCAAAAGCTCTGTGGTCAACCTTCCAGATGCCTCCAGAAGTGGGTGCTAACCTCATTCCCAGTCAGAGAGACTGAGATGGGGGAGGCCGCTAGGGAAAGGTTGGGCAGATTGAAGGCTTGTGATCCTTGATCATCTACCCAAAACTGGGAGGCCCCATGTCCTTTCTCCTGGGTCATGCTGGGTTACCCTCCAGTTTGTAAGGGAAGACAGGGCTGAGGACTTGGCAGCAATGCACTCCCAAGAGTGGTGTCTACCTCCTTACCTCTCACTGGCCTTTTCTAGGTGAGCCTGGCAGTCAGAGTAAGTGACCTGTGATGAGGTAGAGGGTCTTTGTCAGCCAGACTGCTGCCTCCTTTTCCTAACCCATGGGAACTTTGGGGCACAGCTGCGTACAGACATTGCTGGTGCCTCTGCCCCATTCACACAGTGAAGGTGTGGGTGTAAAGACCCCTCTGTGTACTTGGGACCAGCTTGCCCTTTGCACTTGCAAGCCAGCTCCTGTTCCAAACAACAGCTTCCAGATGCCCCCTGGGGATCCAGCTCATCCTGCAGCCTCCCTGAGCAGCTGGCCTGCTGTCCCGCCCCCAGGACTCCTCCACAGCCGACCTTCACTCCCCGGGCCACCACTGCCCACTTCTCCCAGCTTCTGCATGGTCTCGGAAAGGGAGAGCCCTTCTGGCACCGGAGAGTTCTTTATCCTGGCTGCGGCTGGTGGGAGCTAGTGTCCTAGGTTGAGATAAAAATTTCCCAGGCTGGGAGGCTGTGGTCACCCTTGTGCTCCACCTCAGCACACTGGAACATCCCGTCCCAGTAGCAGGAGGCAGCATGCTGGGGAGTCTTGCCTTAGCACTTTGAGAGCCTGCAAGAACAAGGGTGCACCCTTCAAAATGCTGCTTCACCCTCCCCCCACCCAGAGCTAAGCTCAGGGCCCCCAAAGTTCAGCATGGCTCTCAGTGCTCCAGAGGGATGCTCATCCTTCGAATTCACAACTCTGCACAGCCCTACAGACTAACTGGTTCTATCTACCTGGCCCTGGGTGATCATGGGGCTGGTCCAAGAGGCACCTGGGCCAACACCAAGGGGCTCTTTCAGTGCCTATACAGGGCAGTTAATGGCTGCCCGAGGTTCCTCACTGGGTCTCCCAGGGCACACCAGAGCACCTGTTGTTCTTAATCCTGCCCCACAGGTCAAACATCTGTGGCTCACACCCAGGCCGGGAGCGAAGTGGCTCTGGTTTCCACATTCTTAGATTGTTAACCGTCCTGAGTAACCAGTGTGGGAGCACTGGTCTCCATTTTCTATTTCAAGAGGACTCTTCAAGTTTCCTTATCTGCATATTGGCCACATGGAGATCCACAAGGAAGTGTGTATCATGCATCTGCCTTGGTCTTAGAGTAAAGTGGCAGCATTAGTAATTTTTGCTGTTGGAGACAACAGCCTCCTTCTATTTTAGAGGCTGCTGTCCAGCCACTTTATACCACAGAAGGCCCCAGCCTGCTGGTCCATCCTCAACCAAAAACAAACAAACAAAAAGCCCAACAATAAAACCACCTCCCTCAACCCCCCCCCAATAAAACAAACAGAGGATCAAACAGAGAAGGACAGGAGTAGTAGGGTTTAGAGGATGGTGTTAGGATGCCCATTCCCCAAGCATCTATAGGCCAGCCTGAGGGGTTAGGGTCATTAGGGCTTAGGGTGACCACACAGCAGGAGCCAGCTGAAGAGCTCACCCTCTAGTCTGTCACCAGCACTTGGCTATTGGAATGGCCCTACTCTCAGACCACGCACCACAAACAGACTACATTCCAGGGTCCCTCTCGCGTGGCAGCAGATCTTGGGGCCCCTTCCTTAGACCTGGTGACCTTTCTTTCACTCTCGATGGCCATCAGGAAACTTAAGTGTTCCTGCCTACTCTGGGTCTCTGACATTTTCTGAGACGCTTTTAGGTTCCAAACGTCTGTGTCTCTGTCCCAAGTTTTAGCCTTTCCAGAAGCCACTATTCATGCGGGGACAGGTGTCATTTGCAGTCCTGTAGCAAAAATCCCAGCTCCTGCCCCAATCAGGCCCCAAGCCGGGTCCTCCACAGAGACTGTGGTATAGCTGACTCCGAGCAACAGGTCGTTGCGCACGACGTGCATGCCACGACAAAGCGGCAGGGCGCGTGTCCGCAGCGCATCCTGCCGGGTGTCTCCCGAGACCACGGTCCACGTCCTCCTGGCCCCAGCGTAGGCTGGGCAGCGGTCCCACTGCGCTGCGCTTCCTCTCGGCAACGCGTCCGGCCCCGGCGCCCTCATTGGCCCCACGCCCCGTCGCCGGCCATTGGTCCTCGGCCCCAATTTACATAGACCGATCTGGCCCAATCGGTGTGCAATGCCTACTTAACATGCACGACGGCCGCCAGTCAGCGAGCACCGGGGCCGGGCCACCACGTGCTGTTGCTAAGCTTGGGCTTCTAAATTGTTACTACTGGGGCCAGCCTATCCCAGCCAAGCTTCGCATCTGTCAACATTCTCAGCCCTGCCCGAGGCGTTCGGCCAGTTACCATTGGCCGAGGCTGTCTTAGAACCCGCCCCCTAGGCTAGAGTATCCACGCCTATTGGCTGTGACGACCGCCGCTCTCCTTATGTGTCAATTTGAGGGCCTGAGGCGGAGGGTGGCGGTCCAGCGCTGGAGTCCGCGAGTCGGGCTGGTGTGCCGCCAGGCGCGGGGCGTGCGGCGAGCAGAGCCGGCAGGAGCGCGCCGGGCAGCTGCCGCCGCCGTCCCGTGCGCGGGCGGCAGGATGGAGCTGAATTCCCTGCTGCTGCTGTTGGAGGCAGCCGAGTACCTGGAGCGTAGGGACAGAGGTAGCCCGCGCCCCTTTGTGCCAGGGTGGGCGGGCTGCGGGAGGGCGCAAGGGGCCGCTGACCGCACCGTCTGTCCCGCAGAGGCCGAGCACGGCTACGCCTCCGTGCTGCCCTTCGACGGCGACTTCGCCAGGAAGAAAACAAAGACCGCTGGCCTGGTGCGCAAGGCCCCGAACAACAGGTACCGCCCCCACCCCCCACCCCCGCGCGCTGTGCCCAGTCAGCTCGGGCCGGCCCCGCCCGAGTGTCCCCGTCCTCTCCGCGTCCCCAGCGCAGTCCTGCGCGCACCCGGGCGGCCGGCCTGGAGGAGGTGCCGGCCCCGCCCGCGCGTCGCCATCTTCCCGCGGCCGCGCCTCCCGCCGCCGTAAACAGTGCCACGCGTACAGCGCCCGCGCTCGCCCAGAGTCGTTCTGGACTTTTCCAGACTGGAGAGGAGTTGTCAGTTGATGCCCGCCGCTGCTCTCTCCTTAAGGCCGAATTGGGGACTCCTCCCTCCCTTGCACTTCTCGGAGCTGGCCTTGCTCGTAGGCCCAGTACCTTACCCTCAAGAGCCTGGACAGGGACCCCTCCCTGGGTACCCACCGGTCCTGCACAACCAACTGACAAGGAAACTCCCAACTACAAGTGCAAGACTGGCTTTGTGGCAGAGACCTGCAGGGAGCTATTTCTACCAAGAGTCCCAAGGCCCAACTACTCTCTTTTCACCTCGGCCTTGTATCTGGAGGAAGCCCTGAAGCTGGGGTTTAGGCGTGACTAGACACCTAAGGGTCTCACCTTCCTGGTTGCAGTGGGGATCATGGCACACCTGACAGTGTCTAGGGACCAACCTTGGCCCAGCCGCTCCTGTGTGCTCAGTCTGGGAGCTTCCCTGGCAGGCTGGGGGCTTCAGGGCCCCCTGGCAGAGGGTGCGGCTCATTCCTGTGGCCTGCCTGTTCTTGGGAAACAGAGAGGCTGGCACAAGGGCCCGTTTCTGTGGTGTCCTCGGCCTGGCAAGGATTTGGTTGAATTTCCAACTGCCTGAGTCCCAGCCCCTGGTCTCCTGTTTTGGGCACTTTGCAGAAGGACATAAGTGTATTGGAGCTCTCACTGCCCCGGGCTTCCACAGTGAAATGATCTGGCCCCTGCTTTTGTCTGCCCTAAACTCGAGGTTGGGAGCTCAGGTTCCGGTGGCATGGAGTACCCTCAGGTGACAAGAATGGTAGCTGACACACTCAAATGCTTATGCCATATGCAGAAGTAAATACTCTAACCAAGCCTTGTAAAAGAACCCTTATTTGCCGGGGCTGGAGAGATGGCTCAGCTGTTAACCCAGCAGAGGACCTGGGTTCAATTTCCAGCACCCACATGGCAGTTTACAACTGTAACTCCAGTTACAGGGTACCTGACACCCCCATATAGACAGACACACATTCAGACACAATACCAAAGCACATAAATAACAAAATTGACTAAGAAGCCTTATTTTGGAATCCGTTTATGCAACTGAGGAAACCAAGGGCCTAGACGGATTCAGTTACTTTCCTAGGGCCACTCAACCACCTCTGTCCCCTGTTCCTGAATGAGGTCCTAGCCTTCCATCATCTTCTGGAACGGAGACCTGGGTGCAAGGGGCAGGTGACACAGAGGGCCTCCCTGACTTGGGTGCACCTCCCTTAAAGCTTCCTTGGACAGAGTGTACTCCCTCAAGGCCTAAGGCCTTAGGGGTGCAGGCATAGCCCTTCCCTCCCCAACCACTGCTCAGGAGGCGGTCCTTAGCCAGCTCAGCTGGGATCCCAGATGTGGAAGGGCAGGTGTGAACCTGTGAGGCTTCTGTGTAGCAGGCCAGGGTGAGAGAGGGGCTGGAGGGAAGCACTTCGGTAAGGAGAAAGCAGCCCCGTGATAGATGTGGGCTCTGTGTAGGTCTCCAATAGCAATGGCCCCATGGGGGGCCTGGAGCTAGCCTTTCAGGGTCATGTTCTTTGAGAAGGTAAGCAGAGAGGTTAGTTCAAGGTGGTGCCCAGACAGCGCCACTCCTCGGACACAGGTGCTTCTAGAACCTGTGTGACAAGCTACAGGATCTCTGGACTCAGGAAGAGTTCCAAGAAAGGCTACCTCCATGCTGCTGAAGAGTGGCCCTCCAGTCCAGGTTGGGAACAAGACAAGGTTCATCCTTTGGTACAGGAGGTGGGGGCTTCTGAACCCTGAAGACTGCTGCTGACCCCAGCCTCCTACACAAACTAGCAAACCTACAGTTTGGGCTGAAGGCCCAAGACCAGTGGGAAGCTTCTGTGCTGCCTTCTTGCATCATGAAGGGATTCTGAGGCTCTGGCCCAGCCCAGGGGACTAGCAGGTCTTTGAAGACCCTGGGAATACACAGGGGGCTGGAAATCAGCTAGGCTTGAGGGAAGATGGATGACCTAGTATCCTGATGGTTTCTGTAGGTTATATAGGCAGAGTATGCACCCTTTTTGGTGAAAGATACCAGATTCGAGTTCTGGAGCAGCAGAAGGAACAGGTGGGCCATGGCCAGCAGAAACACAGGGAGGGACTTAGTTTGGGTGTGTCCTGAGCTTTCTGCTTATTTGTTCAATGGCCCAGGGAACCTAGATGTCCGTTTTGGCTTGTGGCATCCCCTTAGATTGAGAGAGTCACTTGGGAGGCTGAGTGGCACCTGTGGTGTTCAGAAATCTGCTCTGATCCGAGTGGGCGTGGCCAGCGGGGCTCAAGCAGTCCATGGGGTCACTGTTGCCAGGGAAGATAAACTTGGACTCAGGGTGACATGTTCTGGCTTAGTGCAGCTCCTGAGAGAAGTGGTAATGTCCTGCTGTGTGCTATGGGCCCAGAAAGCATCCACATCTTACAAATGCCCCTCCGGGGTGGCTTGGCTGTAACAGCTGTAACCGCCCTGGGTGTTCCTATCTGTGTGACAGAGTGACCGTGGGAGGGCAGGGTGCTTTTGTCTCCTGAGGGCCTGGCCTTCATGTTGCATGCTCAGACTGCCACTGGTTCTCTGCATGGCTTGCCTTGCTTAGAAGAACACAGGTGGCCCGAGGGAAGGGGGAGGAGAGAAGGAAGGTGGCTGGGTACCTGCCAGCCCCAGTCCTCCCACAGTTCAATGTGGGGTTTCCCTGGCCTTTAGCAGGCAGTTGTACACCTGCCCTAACTCTCGGCATCCATAGATATCCTGCACCTAGACCATCATAGCTCCTGGCTCTCCACAAAGAGCCACTGTAATTTGTGCTCTGGTTGTTGGGCCTTGGAATGAGCCCTGTCTTTCTATCTCTCTAAACAGGTCTTCACACAACGAACTAGAAAAGCACAGGTAAGTGGCACCCCCATTCCCATGTGAGCTACTTGATGTGACTGTCTCCTCACCCCCACCCCCACGCTGAGGGGGCGCTTTTGTTGACCTCACCTGTCCGGGTTGCCAGGCTATGCTCTAGGCTCTGGAAAGATCAGTTCTAGAGAGGTCTAGGGTCTGTTCTTGGGTTTTTTTTAGATTGGCAGGCAAGGGCTGGGTCCAGGCCTATTCTCGGGTGTTTAGCCTGGCGTCACTGGTATGTGCACGGCTCCTTGCCCTGGTAGCACTCTGAGTCTGCTCCCTGGAAGAGGACATAGGTGTGATTGGGTGTGCCTAAGCTCCTTTAGAAACTTTAGTTTCAGCTCTCAGTACAATGGCCTTTGCAAAGGGTTAAACCTGCCCCCCCTTACTTCTGTGCCTTTTGGGATCTGCTTTCTAAGGAGCTGTCATTCTCTGCATCAAGAGGGCAGCAGGCCCAGGCACTCTCCCTGCACCTGGCTAGAATCAGCTCCTGGCATGGCTGGTGGCCCTTGAGGTTGCTTCATCTTGTCATTGTGTCTTCCTTCTGCCAGTGGTGACAAGGTGGGGCTGAGCCCTGGGAGGTGGGAGATGAAGGAGATGTTTGTGGCTGCCAGCAGCATCCTAAGTGGAGGCAGAGGTATTTTAGGCCAGGCATCCCCATAAGCAGTAGCCCCCATGCAAGGACCAGGGAAAGCCCCCGAGAGACACTAGGCAATACCTCTACCCTAACCTCTGCTCCTATCTGTAGAATGGACCAGTTCTGTCTTGCCCTCTTAGTGTTGGGGGGAAGGGAGGCATGTAACTCTGCATCCTAGATGAGCCCTCCTGGGTGCACTGGGAAGGTCTGGAGCCCAGCCAGTTCTTTCCTTCCCCCCTCCCTGAGCCCTTTGCAGCGCCAACTTCCGCTCTCCCGGGATTCAGGACTCTGGTTGGGGCGGGTGTCTGGGCAGGGACAGAACACCATGTTCCCTGAGGAGATGCACTTCCTGCACTGGCTGTGTATGGTTGGGGGGCTCCCAAGGGGCCAGGCCACAGGGATGGAAGCCAGTGTGAGGCAGGCTTCGAGTTGCTCCTAGGTCAGAGGAGACCAGCCAACCTTGTCCAGGTCCGGGCACAGTGGCCTGGCCACTGTGAGCCCCGGAGCAGTGTTTGGGAGGGCTGCTGGTAGGGAGGACACATGGTAAATGCCATTAAGGGAAGTGTGGGTAGAAAGTGTAAGACAACCTCTAGGAAGGAAAAGGGTTGGCCTCTGACCTCTGCAGATATCCATTGACCTTGACCTTGGTTTCTGCCATCTTCCTCAAGCCTTTACTTAGACTGGGTCTCATGGAGGCCCTTTATTTAAGATGGGGTAAGAGTGGTTGGGCATCTTGGGGCTCTCTGCCACCCATCTCAGGGCAAGGTCTTTCTACCTGACAGATGGAGCCATAGATGTAGATAGTGTTGAGCAGCCCACAGGCCTGTGGATTGGGCCCTGGTAGGAACATCAGTCATGGCTGGCTGTAGCTGGCCTGAGATCGATGCCAGGTGTTCCTGGATTCTGGCTGAAGGAAGGGCAGTATGTTGTCCTGAGGAAGGAAGGAAACACCTGGCAGTCTGCCAAGCAGGCCATAAGAGGCATACCCTGGACACTGCCTTCACTGGAAATGTCCCTCAGGGAGACTCAGGTAGGCCTGTGGGGCTTTCCCTTTTGGAGCTTTGGACAGTAACAAGCCAACTGTAGGCCCACTACCCCTGTAGGTCAGTAGCTCTTTCAGACTTGCTTCAGGGCCTGGCAACCCTCCTAGGCTCAGTTCTAGTCTCTGGTCTTAGCTGTAGTAGTGAGAGCTCTAGATATGCTTCCTGGCCCTTAGCTCTCCTCAAGTGTCCCAATACACTTAGAGGTCAGGTCTAAGCCCTCAGCTAGGCCCCTAGCCCTAATCCAGGCACAGAGGTGGTTGTCCAGCCTTGGCGTGATCCTGCATAGCCACCCACAGGTACCTGATGCAGCTGTGTGGAACCACAGGAACACGCTTGTTAGCAACAGCTAGAGGACACTGATAAATAGCAAAGAGTAGGAGTCCCCCTGTCCCTGACCACTGATTGTAGTGGAATTCCTCACTGCCCATTTTTTCCAGTAACCTGGCCTGGAACTTATCTCTGCTATCCAGCCAAGACTCTGACACACATGTGCTGGGGGACCCTGGCATAGACCCAAGCCCTTGCTGCCCCCCCCCAGCTTTTGGACCTTTCTTTGAGGAGTAGGGCTTTCTGATAAGAAGCTAGGTGTGGCATTGTCCAAGGACTGGGCTGTGAGAGGAGAGATGGGGCTGTTCTGATACTAATGCAGGGATTCCAGGGACAGTGCTGCCTCTTTTAGAAGCACGGGGGCTTAACAAGTTTGGGATGCCTAGGGGCAGCCATGTGTGTTGGCATTGGGTCTGGTGTACTATAATGGCTTTAGGGAGGATTTAGTGAGAACCCAGAGCATCCTAGACTCTAGGACTGTGGTGCTCAGAATAGGGGTGGGGGACCTTTCCCACATCCCCTCACCAACCATAGGCTTAGCCCTGGGTATGCACTCTTCTGGGTTTGGATTGACATATTACTCTTACATTGCTTGTGTATGGTCAGGTGACTGTTCTTCATCTCTTGAAGAAATGCCTTTTTCTAAATATTATTCATGTACTTCCTGTACCCCACCAGAGACCTTATCCTGGTCACTTGGAGGCCCCTGAAATGATAAGGGGCCCTTGCTACCCACTGTCCCTACCAGGATCCTTCACCCAATACCATGTAAGTGCCGAAGACCTGAGTTCATGTACCCATAGCTTCTCTGACCTCAGAGCCTGTAGAGGACCACAGCCACACTTTCCAGGTTCCCTCTGACCTGAGCATTTCTAAGCCGAGTCTTCAGATAACGCCCAAATTCTAGAAGTAGAAGTACTGGTCAGTGGTCTGAGCCAAAGTCAATGGTGCTTCTCCCAGAGGAACTGTGTCAGGTCCCCATGTGCTGTCCAAGTGAGTTCCAGCCACCTCTTTACCTTCCAGTTGGTACAAAAGAGAAAATGAACATCTGCCTGTTTGAGTTTTCATTTCCTGATTACTTATGGGATGGAGTCTGTTTTCACGTTAGAGTTGCCTTTTGTTTTCTGCAACTTGCCTGCTTGTGTCCTTTGCTCATCGGTACACGAAGGCCGTGTTCTTTATTTTTGACGTGTGTGAGCTCAAAATATCACTAATACTAATCGTTTTGTCTTTTATATGTATTGCAAATGCGTTTCTACTGTTATTTGTCTTTCAGCTGTGTTTCTTTCTTGTACAAACATGTCTTTCTCTGATTGTAAAAGTGAATGTGGGGTTTTCAAAGCATAGAAACCCTGGAAATACAGATGAGCACAAAGCTAAAGAAATAAACGCTGCCAGCCGCATCCTTGGAGGTGTACGCTTCCTGTGCTTCATTGTGTTCCGTTGAGTCTCTTGTGTGCGTCTGCTCTCTTTATTTTTTAACAAAAATGGGTCACTTGTCACATAGGTGGTTCTGTATCCTAATGTTTTCACTTAACACTCATGAACTGGAAAGATAGATACACCACAAAAAATGACAGTATGGTCATCTCTGGGACAGGGAACTTGGGGATACTTTGTTTCTTGTCAATTTGCAATTTCCATCCACTACCAAAAAGCCACTGCTGCTGCCATGATTAAATGATGGGTTGTATGAATTGCTATTTGCTGTGTAACCAGTATACCTGGTGAGAAGGGTCCCTGGCTGCTCCCCTTATCATATCCCAGTGGTGACTTCAGGACATTGGAATATCTTGGGAAGGCTCCGCCTCTGCTCCCTAGCCCAGCTCTGCTCTCTAGTCCCTTCAGTTCCTAGGGTTGGATACTCACTGTGCTGAAAGCAGTGATGCTGAGATCTGAACTCTCCAGATGGGTAGCCATGCATGCAGTAGTTTGGAGCCAGGAGCCTGTCTGGGTATGGTGAGATTAAAGACCCTCTAGCCTTGAGGCATAGTCAGGGGCTTACACACTCTCACTCACATCCTGCCTCCTGGCTAAGCTCAGTCTCAGTGCTGTGTCTAAGAAGTTCTTCCAAAGGTCTAAGTCCAGTTCACCAAAAGGACATCTAGGCCTTAGGGTGCTGGGCCACAATGCTAGGAGAGAAAGGGCTTCGTCAGCAATGGGTGCAGTTTGAACGGCATAATGGCCAAGGGTGGCACCCCCACTCCCCATGGATGACTATTAGCATTTCTCTATGGTCTCTTCCTGTACCCAAGGACCCCCTCCTCTGTCTAAGAAATGAGTGTTCCTGCGTTCTGTCCTTCCAAGGTCTCTATATGACTGAGGTAGTCGGTGGGGATGCTTGCGCTCTGTGACTAGGGAACAGATGTGAAAAGTAGACTTTCAGCATGGTGCCACTTTTTTTTAATTGAAAGTAGATTTTTTTATACAGTATATTCTAATCATGGTTTCCCCTCCCATTTCCTCCCTGATCTTCCCTACCTCCCCACCATCCAACTCCACATCTTCTTTCTCTCTAAAAACCAAAGAAGCAAATTAAAAGAACAAAACACTATTAAAGAGGATTATGGGTGGGCACTGGCCTTGCAGCAGGTTTCCACAGTCTTCAAAAAAATTCTGCCCATGATTTGCCAGTTACACTTCTAAGAATATGTCCAAAGCAAGCCATACTGACTTGGAAAGCACCTTGGCTTCCTACAGGGCCTGGCTATCTCCATAATTGGGCATCACTTAGACAGAACACTGGTTTCCTGCAGATACTAGTCAGGTAGAAGGTGGAGATAACAGCAGCAGTCCCTGTTAACCATAATAATGTCAGAGACAGCCTCTGGAGGTGAACTTAGTTGTACCTACAGACCAGGCAGAAAAGCATTACAACATGTGGCCAAGTACTATAAATATGGTTCCAGTTTTGTGGGAAAAAAATGGATCCACACAATGGGTGCAGGAACAAAAGTCTGGAATGATGCAATTCCCAATGAGACCACAAACTCAGCAGAGAGAACTGGTCCTCAGCTCTCCCTTGACCATACCGACTCATGTTTCTATGGGGACATGAGTGAGGAGAGCATGCTGTACAGGGCAGAGTGGGTAACACAGATATTTGTTTGTGGGCTCTTAGGTCCTGTGGAACCGTGTGGACACCATATCCACAGAGGTACCTGTGACAGGCTGCTCTAAGAGGACATGTTATCCAGGCCAGGGGGAATTCCTGGAGAGGGATCTAGATACTCCAGCCTTGAGGCAGAGTCTGGGGCAACTTCCAGATCAAGAGGCAGGCCTACAGTGATACCGGGCCTGTGAAGGGGCTGGGCTGGCCACTTTCCACCTTCCACCAGTCACATCTGCCATAGTTGTGTGGGATTTGCTGCCTAGCTTGATAGTCTGTCTCTGGCTCTTTCAGACGAGCTAAACTCAGGCTCTACCTGGAACAGCTCAAGCAGCTGGTACCCTTGGGCCCTGACAGCACACGCCATACCACTCTGAGCCTCCTGAAGCGTGCCAAGATGCACATAAAGGTAAGCACGCTATGCCCTCTATTCTCCAGTCACCCTGATGTCCTCCAGGCCATCCCTACTCTTGGGCAGCCATTGGTTCAAAGGACCTTGCAGGTACATGTCAGGAGCTTATGGGAGGTTATAGGAGGTTACATGCCTGGGGTTGAGGTTTGTTGAGTGGTGACTGGCAGGGAGACAGTATGGTTGGTTGACTGGATAGGCCAGGCTCTAGGCTGGTACAGATAGTTCTCTATAATGCTGAACTGTGAAGGGTCAGCAGCCAGAAGAAGAGGTGGAGTTAAGAGAGGGGCAAGGGGTCATTGTATGCCTTCATAGACAGTCTGACTGGGGTTAGGGAAGTGGGAGGGGTGGTAGAGACTGTTCTTGGGAGCTGGTGTGGGGTTAGGCTAAGGGAGATTTACCTGGGGTAGTCCCCCAAGGCCTTCAGACTGAGAGTTGCTTATTCAGTGTTCTTGGGACATTTGGGTCAACCAGGGTAGGTCTTTCCCTTCAAAATGGCTCCTCTGTCTCATAGGTATGGACTCACAGGTTAAGTGGCAAAGTGGCAGTAGCTTTAAAAGTTATATCCAAGGCCCTGGGGTTTTATTGGACAGCAGTGTCTCAGGTGAGCCCCCACACAGGAAGGTTTAAGAAGGTGTCTATCTTATCCTTTTCCACTGCAGTCTCAGATGCTGCATGTAGACTCAGTGAAAGCCCATTCCAGGGCCAGATGGGGCTCTCATGAGTAGGGCTGGAGGGAGGTGCCTGCCAAAATTTGAATGACACTATCCCAGGGCTTGCAGCCAACATGTGTCTCCACTTCCTGGGGCTGCCCAGCAGCACTGGGCATTCTATAGCTAGTTAACAGGCTGAGAGTGAAAGACCAGGCTGAGTAAGTGGCCACCTTGCTGGGGTGAGGAGGGGCATATTTGACCTCTGGCTGGGTACCCTGTGACTCTGTCCAGCATGCAGGGCATGTTTTAGGTAAGGATCCTGCCTGCAAAACTTCTGTGCTTATGCCCAAGAGAGGTTATTCCTTCTTGGCTATGGGCTCACAGAATACCGTCTGTCCCCAGAAACTGGAGGAGCAGGACCGCAGGGCACTCAGCATCAAGGAGCAGCTGCAGCGGGAGCATCGCTTCCTTAAGCGGCGCCTAGAGCAACTATCAGTGCAGAGTGTAGAGCGTGTGCGCACTGACAGCACTGGCTCTGCTGTGTCCACGGATGACTCAGAGCAAGGTAAGTGCCAGGGAAGCAAGGTAGGAGCTAGGGCAGCCCAACCCTGGCCTCTAGGTATAGGTGTCACCAAGCTCCAGGGGGTCAAGGAAGACCCTAAGGAGAGAGTGATGTTAGTGGTGACAAGGTGTCCATGCCACCTGAGCTAACTGCTTGCAGTACTATGGTGATTTCCAGCCTTACATGAAGAAGGGATGGGAAGAAGACAGTGAGGCACATGGCCATGGCCTGGCTATGTGAAGGCAGAAGATGATTCCCCACCCCCACCGGGGCAGCATGCTGCAGTCTGGGTTCATAACCCAAGACTTTGACTGGAACCATCCTAGCGTCTTCCACCTTAGGGGCCAGAGGATCTCCCTTATCTCCCCCAACCCCACTTCCATAAAAGGGGAACATGAGCTCTGACTTGGAAGGGAGCTCCAGTCTGGCTTCTTTGGAAGGGGCCACCCTGACCTATCCTCTCTCTGTTCTCTCAGAGGTGGATATAGAGGGCATGGAGTTTGGCCCTGGGGAGCTGGACAGTGCTGGCAGCAGCAGTGATGCCGATGACCACTACAGCCTACAGAGCAGTGGCTGCAGCGACAGCAGCTATGGGCACCCTTGCAGGCGGCCTGGCTGCCCTGGCCTTTCGTAGGCTCTGTGTCTTTTGCTTCTTGGCCCACCTGCCTGCCCACCTAGCCAAGCGTCTCAGCCTTCCAGTCCTCCCTTAACTGAAGCCAGCCTCGTCATGAGCCTACTGCTGTGCCATTCTCGAAGCTACAGCTGCTGCCTGGTCTGCCTGCCTCTGCCTGCCCACCCTTTGGTCAGGACTCAAACTGCCTGCCCTTGTCTGCAGGGCAAGATCCCACACAGGGAAGCAGGGTCAGGCTCTCACATGTGGAGCCCAGCGTAGTCACCCACAATCTGTTCTCAGATTCCTAATCATTCCAGAAGTATTAAACGTCATTGCTGCAAATCTCGGCAGGATCCGTGTAGGGGCCTTAATGACCACCATAGGGAGCTTGAACCTCAGCATTGGATCCCAGGATTAAGGAGTGGACTGAAAAGGAAGGAAGGAAGGAAGGAAAGAAGGAAAGAAGGAAGGAAGGAAGGAAGGAAGGAAGGAAGGAAGGAAGGCAGGCACAGCTGTCCATCCATTCATCTGCCCATCTACCTGTTGGTCCACACAAGCTCCTGAGGTGTGTGGACAGAGGGATTTGTGAAGGGCAGGACTCGGGTGGGCATCTGAAGCAGATGGGTGGAATCCTTTTCCATGGTGTCAGGAGCCAGGGGAATGCTCCTGGGGCCACGTCATACCAACTCTGGTGACTTCTGCTCTATTAGGACCATCAGATGTATACACACACCTAGACCCATACCCACAGTCACATATACACAGACATGTGGACATCAGAAAATGTATGTCCTGAGATAGTTGGCCTGAGTTCACTTGGAAGTGATGGTCCCTAGCCTATGCCTGACTCTCATTCAGGCCCCTGCTCACCTGTGCCAGCCCAGATGACTGTGTAGTCAGCACAGGAAATAGATAGGGCTTTTCTTCCTGGCAGGGGACTGGAATAAGCTGAGAGAAGAGCTGAAACCACTGGGTTCTCCAAGCTTTTTCATCTCCCTTTCTTAAGAAAAGAAAAAAAAAAGTCTGACAGGGAGCTCCCAGAAGGGGCCTCACAAGCCCTGCCCAGGGCAGCCTCAGCTGGCAGAGGCTTTACCCAAAACACAAAACAGAAACATTTTTAAAAAGAGAAAGAAGCTCTGAAGACTCGCCAAGGGCCATGAGTGTGTGCCGCCTCTATTTCCTGTATGAGATTTTTGTACTCTATTTTCCTAGCCATTGTTGTGTCCTTGTTTGCTGAGGGGTGGGAGCGACCCAGTGTCTCAGGGACCCATCCTCTGTCACATGGTCATAGTGTGCCTTGTGTCCCCTGTCTCACCCTGCCCACTGCCAGCAACATGCCCCTGTGGCTTATGGGATGCGCAGGCCTGATGGTAGGTCTCCCTCCACCCACACCCACTGCTTTCCCACGGGTAGCCTCTCTCAGCAGCTGCAGCCTCCTGAGAGGGACGTGCAGGCCCATGTAGCTCCCGTGGAAGATTTTTGTATCCTGCAGGGCTTTGACCTGGCCTCCAGTGGTGCCTCCCTGGTAACTGGCAGGGTGACTGCACCTGAAAGTTTGGGGACAGCAGGCCTGCTGGCCTGGAGTGTCAGCCATGGGCAGCTGATAAATACAGTTCTTCTGGAGGTGGTCCAGGCCTGGCTAGGAGGCTTCTGTTGGCCTTTCAGTACTAGAAGACCTCTCTAGAGGCACCACACAGCAATATTTGGGTAGTGGTCATGGGCTGGCCCACAACAGCGCCTGCCACCACCTCTGGTGCATTTGTAAACAATTTCCACACTGTGGGGAAAAATTCTTGTTTATCTTCAGTCATGCCAGTGAGCATCCTCTGGTGGGTGGCCTACTGATAGGCAGAATGGAGTTCCTGGAAACAGCTCTTGGCATAGAACCTGCCCTATGGGTACTCAAGATGACAGGTGGACTGCAGGCCTGGGTAGGAGTTCATGAAATAGAAGGATAGCCAACATCTTAGTAAGCTGGTTCTGCCTACATTTTCAGCCCAACAGGGGCCTCCAGTGTCTGCCTAAGCATGTCTCTGGACATTTGTTTTGAGTATACACACCCTTAGCACAGGACAGAGCTATGTTTAAAGCCCTTGCTTCAGGGCCCCAGAACTCCAGGGTTCCTGATGTGCCCTGAATTCTTGTATCATCAACCCCCTGCTCCATCTCCAGCACCTTAGATTCTGCTTCCCCCCCGCTGCCAGCAGAGTCCACTCCTGGTGACCAGAGTGGCCCCCCCCTTGGCTGAAATTTGTGGCAGCTCAGCCCTTTGCCTTTTCAGGCTATGGTTTCCATGTAGCCTGGGAGTTGGCCTCCTCAGTCACCCAGGGGTGCTAGCCAGCTGCCCCTCCCACTAGCAGACATGTGAGGGGTGGTCCATAGGCATGGGGGCTGGTGCTAAGAATTACATATCCATTACTCCTTCTCCTACTCTCTACCATTTGCACAGTATGGCCGTTACTAGTGGCCATAGGATTCAGCCAAGGCTATTGTGTGTCTGTAGAATGAAATCTGGACCAAAATAGCTGCTGCTTATGTCCTCCATCTGCACCTGTCCATGCGAGCCATGTGGTGCTCCTTAACAGAGTCTAGAACTCCAGGCTCAGGGTTGGGTCCTTTACTAAGAGGTGGTCCAGATGTACCTGACCCACTGTCCTGCTGCAGGCCCAGCTGGTCTACCAGGAGAAAACACAGAGGTTTTGTCTCTATCTAGACCCTGAGCCTGCCTCTGCAGTCCTACCCTGCAGGCACTTGAGTTTGCCTTCCGAGGCAGATGGAGTTGTGCACCAAACTGTGGCTGGACAACCCTACCCTTCTGTGTGCCCCAAGCCTTCCTGCCACTTTTGGGTCAGTTAGCCTACTACCCCTCTGTCTGCACAGAGGGTCTTGACCCCAGGCCAGCAAGCAAGTTAGCTCAGGCCTCTAAACTAGGGCACTAGGGCAGGTTCCGTGCCAGAGTTTGGGGCTACATAAGGGGCCTGGTGCCATGCAGTGGGTAAGTTATGAGACCTGAGCTGCAGAGTGGAATGGGACCCCCATCCCACCTGTCTAACAGATGGGGCTGTGCTGTGTCATTCTGTCATTGTAATATAAATACAGATTTTTATACCTCATTGTCTGGTTTCTAGTTCTTTCTGTCTCCTTGCTTTTCTCCTTTGCCTCCAGCTTCAGCTAGAGGGCCTGAATCACTGGAGCCTGGGTCAATCTGACCCTTGGGAATCAGCCTTCACATGTCTACAACCTCCATTTCCTGGAAAGCTGGACAGACCCATAGGTCTGCCAGCCTCTCCAAGACGTGAGTAGAAGTACCATATAGCCTACCCTGTGCCAGGTGTCCTTGTTTCTGATCTTGTAGTTTTACCCTGTCACGGAACTAGAACACTGTGGGCCGAAAGACAGCTCAGTCCTTAAGGATGTTATGCTGAGTCTCCAGATTACACCTACAAGCACCCCTCCCTGGACCCATCCCAGAATCCTCAGAAGCTTCTGCCCTCAATACCTACTGTGCTGAGGTGGAGGTGTGGCCAGCTGTGCTTTGATGCATGGGAACTTGGGCTTCTGAAATGCCTTCACAGAAGCAGCTGTGTGGTTGTTTGAGCACACACAGGAGGAGAAAACGGGACAGTATCCCTGACACTCCACTGCCTACAGGGAGGCTTTAGCCCATTGTCCTTAAGGACCCAGATGTCCTCCCACAGACAGGAGTACACCAGGGTTTGTCCTTCGAGGATTTACCACCTTGAATACCATAGAGGGAATGGATCAGGACTTCAGGGAGCAAGGCATCACCACACTGAACCCTCTGTAGAGCCCCTGGAGATAGCCTAGTGGTACCTGCTAGAAAGTTTTAAGATGGAACCATGAATCTTGGGGAGGGATCAGTACTCCCAGCAGGCAACAGTGGACTCTGGATTCTTGAATATGTGCACCCCTGCCTTCTGTTTGGTGCAGGGGGAGGGGTGAACAGCCTTTGAGGCAATTGAAGGTCACTCAGAGAAAAAGGTGTTTTCTCATGTGAACACTATTGGCACCCCAGAATTGGTATGATTTAGGTGTTGATGTCAGTACGGATATTTAAGTCCCAAATACTGCAGTTTTGTGTCTACACCGTTGCTTTCTTTTGGGGACAGTGGACACCAGTGTCTGTGCTAAATGTTTTGCATAATTAGCACCTGCTATAGTCGTGCTGGGTCCATCTCACAGGAAGTTTAAGGCCCAGAAATGGTGCTCTTTCAATAGCTTTTCTATCCCTACCCCAGGCCCACAAGATGCTTCCCTAGGCCTGTCTCTGTATTTCTTCATGTTTGCCCCCAGGTGAGACCCCTGTATGAATGTGAACCCTTGCCCACTTCCTTCTTAGCAGCCAGTGGCTCCAAAACGGCCCTGCTGTTCCTCCCCACCCCTTCATTCCCCAGAATTAAACTCAAATGCCTGCTCTCTGCTGCCCCTCGGTCTGTCTGCCTCCTACATAGCCCTTTGCCCTTTCCGTCTCATTTTGCATCTCATGGTCAGTTCAAGCCCAGCCTCTGCAAGTGGGCCCTGAGTCCTTTGTCCCTTTCTGTGACATTTTTGCTGAGATTATGACTGCATAAACTAGGTGCTGGGCTCATCTGGACTAATTGCTAGTGGAACATTGCATAGCTGCTTTTTTCCCCAATATTTAGCCAGACAGCCGGGGCACAGGCACTCTAGTTTTCTCCAGAGTTACACCACTGGCCTGGGAAGGGAGCTGCAGTGCCTCTAAACCCAGTCTTCCTCAACAGACATGAGCCTCTCAGCCTACCGAAGGTGCTAGGCTCCTCTGGCTCCTAAACTCTGCCAGACCTCTTGTTACCAGCTTCCAGCTCCAAAGACCCCTGTCTCTACCCATCACCATGGTGACCCCTTCCTAGTGGTGCGGACCCACGTACTCCTCAGTTTGGATCTGAGTTTTCACCTTTGTCACATGAGTGTAAACACAGTGAAAAGCAAATCTCCCCTCCCCCAACTCCATGGTCTAAGGAAAAGTCAGCTTTCTTCTGAAAGAACAAGACCAATAGGAGGAAGCTGCCAGACCACATTTCACTGGCTGACAGCCCCCAGGGTTCTGCCAGCTCTTGGGGTTCCCTTGCCTTTACCCGTTTCTGGGTTGTCCAGTGCCAGCTTTCTCAGACCTTTTGTGACTTGGAAAAAACAATGCAGAATCAAGCTAACACATGTCTGAGGCTGTCACTCCCTTGCTTAAAAACAGCCCCATCTCCATGCCATGTTGTTTGGAGAATAGATCTCTTCACTTCCCTTAAACTGCATCCGAAAACAACCTTTAACATCATAATTGTATTCAAGTTTTAAAGCTTCCCGAAAAGGTACTGTCTAAAACATAAAATACTTTTTAAATATTGATGACAGGAGAGTAAAACTTTAGCTAAGAAGTAGAAAAGGCAAACAGCAAAGACTTTCACTCCTGGCCCTGCATTTAGGTTTGTTTCATTCAATACATTCTCACAGGCTTGCTTAGGAAAGATTAGCTCCCGGTTTCCCTTTACCTTTTGACCCCATTAAAACCACAACTGATTTTGAGCAGAAAACAAGCTTGTCTTGGAAATAAGTTTAACATATTTGCCTTCTTAAATTTCTAATCCAATTCCAGGAAAACTTCCCAGATTTGTATAATTAACCCTGTTGTGTTTGTCATTTGTACTCGGGCTTGATCCTGTTCTAATCTTTATATTTTTATGGCTTCTTGTGGCCTCACGAACACCTCTTAAACAAATAGCTGTGGTCAGCAACTCAAAATGGAGAGTTGTGGGCCAGGAACCACTCAGGAGTCTCCTGGGTTCCAGGTTGTGCCTCATGCTCTCTGTGGGGACCTCATCCTTTTGTCTTTCTGGCATCTTTAATTTTGTCTCCTCTGAGTTCTTCCTCACAGTCTATAAATATCCCCAAGTTCCTCCCATTTTAAAACAAAACAAAACTAAAAATCCTCTCAGCCCTACATTCCCACCCCCTCATCTTGTGTCGTTTGGCTCTTTTTCTCTGTCTTTGCATCCTCAGCAAAATTTCCCAAAAGCACTGCCTGCACTTCCTCTGGGCAAAATGCACTCACCACCAGCTCCCCAGCTCTCTGCTGAGCCCCTACCTCCAGCTTGATACCAGGGGTCCTTCTGGGCCTGTCTCCTGATTTCCTAACCCCAGATTAGGCTCCATTCTGAGAGCTTTCTGACTGTAATGTTTGCTTTTATTCACTTTTAGATTTTATTTACTTTAAAAAGGAGGATAAAAAGTAAAGTGAATTAATAATAATTCTTGGAGTCTTCAACTCCAATTTAAATTACCTGATAGGACATTAGTTTTGTTGTTGTTGTTGTTGTTGTTTTTCCTCTTTAAAACATTAAGAGCTGGGCATGGTGATTCATACCTATGACCCCAGCACTTGAGGATGCTAAAGTGGGAGAATCTTGAATTCAAGCCCAGCTTGGGCCATGCAGCAAATCCTTGTCTCAAAAAACAAACAAGCAGGGCGCTGGAGAGAGAGATGGCTCAGAGATTAAGAGCACTGGCTGCTCTTCTAGAGGTCCCGAGTTCAATTCCCAGCAACCACATGGTGGCTCACAACCATCTGTAATGGGATCTGATGCCCTTTTCTGGCATAAAGCATGCATGCAGATAGAGCACTCATACATAAAGTAAATCTTAAAAACAACAATAATAAAAAACTGACCTAAGCAGGGAGAAAAAGATCCAGAAAGAATTATACCTAGTAACAACTAGCCTAGAACTTTGGTAAGCTACCTCATTTGTGACTGGAGGAGGGAAGTACTATTCTCTAATGATCAAAGCCCACGCCTTGCAAATTTATATGTCATATTATGAGAGATTGGTAAGAAAAGCGGTTTGTCTGTTAGAAAAGCGAACAAATTCTGTCTGTCACATACAGACACGTTGTTACCAGTGTCAACAGTAGCTCCAAAGGTCAGTTTTCTGGGACCATAGGCCATTAAGTAGGCTTACATCAGACTTAAGTCTTATTTTAGCATTCTGTCTTTCATCCAATGACTGTGGGTGACCTAGTATCTTCCTCAGAACGTACTTCTGAGTTGAATGCATTCCTTCTACATCACACCAAACTTATGTGCTTTACACTTTGACATTTTGAAGATGGGATCGTGGAGGAAGTCAGCTAGGCCTTGGAGTTAAGTGCTTTTGGTAAAAAAACCTTTGTAAAAGAATCTGTAACCGATAATCCTACACTGCTGGAGACCCGCTGCTGGTGGAGAATCCTATTACTGATTCTGTTACTAGCACCCCGTTAGGTCGCCGTGCCGGGGGACGGGGGTCTGTTCGGCTTCAGGCTTTTGGTTCCCTAGAGGTGTCAAAGACTAAGCCATTCTTAGGACGGGAGGCCTAACTGAGAGAATCCTGGTTAGCTGTGCAGCACGGAGCCCAAGGAAACCCAAACGCCAACTCCAGGGCCGGGGAGGGGGCGGAGGTCAGTCTCCAGTGAGGAAACCAATCCTCTTGAGCCTAGCGGGAATGACGGCGGGCTGGGGGCGGGGTTAGGGGGGGGAGCAACGCGTCTGTCAGGAGAGCCAATCACCTGGCTCTTGCCTCCTTGGGGGCGGGGGTAGATCAGGAGTTCCTCCTCGGCCTCTCCGCTATTCCACGCCTGCGCAGACAGTACCGCTGTTGCTATCTGCGCGTGCGCGTCCCGGCACTCCCGTGAGGCCCTGCGACGCGCGCGGTTGGAGGCGGCTGAGAACGCCGGCGGGAGCACCCTGAGGTAAAGGGCTGGCGGTGCCGCCGCTACCCTCCTGCAGTCAGCTTGGGGCGCCGATAGAGCTTACTGGAGCCTGGCGTGGGAGCTTGAGGCTCCGTGCCATGGGTCCGGGTGGGGCTGCGTGGCCAGTCACCCGGCTAGAGGTGGTAAACTTTTTTTTTTTCCGGGTGCTGCAGAGAAAACCCAAGGCCTCACTCAATCACACTAGGCGAGCGTTGACCTGAAATATATACCCTTATCCTTTATACAGCTTTTTAAAAACAGCGATTCGGTGGTTTTGTGGGTGTGTTTTATTAGGGATCTTAAGTGTCATAATTGGAAACTCTAGAAACAAACAAAAACTAGCCCAGAGATTTTGCTACCGGAGCGTCAAATGTATCGACGTTTTAAGACCTGCCATCGCCACTGACCTTCGTTTGTCTCAAGTCGTGGATCATTGTACGCTGGGTGAAAATAGTACTTTTTTGCTTGATGACGGCTGGGTACTTTGAAACTTGTCAGTTTGCTCTGGTTTTCTCTACTTTAGGTTGGTTCTAGCTGGAGAGTGAGTCGTTTGAACCTGATGAATGCCGATTGAGGTAAATATTTAGTTGATCTTCCTCAAAAAAGTGGCTTTTTTCTATATCCTAACTAGAAACGACAGGGGAAAACAACTATTTTACAAAATGTGTATTTTACATAATTTCATCATTGGAAAAAATAAGGTTTTTGTTGTTACATTTTCATTAATTAGGTTTTCATTACTGTTGCAGTGTCCTAAGCAATGCCCTAATTGCTAATGTTTTGCTCTATTTTCTGCATCTGCCTTTCATTTGGTAGCTACCTGATGGCATCTGATAAAATTGTCTGCATATTCAAAATGCATTTGCCTTGTTTGTGGTCTAATATTTGTTTTCTTCCCCTCTAGGAAAACACATTATAGATTGTATTTTTCCCCCTTATTCTACGGACTTAGTGTAAACATGTTTTTTTCTGTTTGAACTTAGTTTTTAAAAATCATTACCATAGATTCATATCTACTATAAGAAACAGGATAGTTAAACCATGAGTTGTGGAAAGGAGTTTGTGGAAACACTGAAAAAAATTGGTTATCCTAAAGCTGATATTCTTAATGGAGAAGATTTTGACTGGCTGTTTGACACTATTGACTTTGAGTCATTTTTGAAATGGTTTTGTGGGAATGTGAATGAACAGAATGTATTATCTGAAAAAGAATTAGAAGATTTCAGTGTTCTTCAAAGATCAGGGAAACCCATCCTAGAAGGAACAGCGTTGGATGAAGTTCTTAGAACCTGTAAGACTTTTGATTTGAAGACACCTACACTGGATGACAAAGAGATACAGAAATTAGAGGATGAGGTTCAAACTCTGCAGAAATTAAATAACTTAAAATTTCAGCGACGGAATAAATACCAGTTAATGGCTTCTGAAACTAGCTACAAATCTCTGACATTAAATGCTAAACAAGAGGAAGCGACTAAGAAGATGAAACAGAGTCAAAGACTCCTCAACACTGTGATTACTAAGCTCAGTAATGAACTTCAGGTTCTTACTGAGGGAGTTAACGATTTGATGATATTCTTCAGACATTCTAATTTAGGTCAAGGGACAAATCCATTGGTATTTTTATCTCAATTTCCCTTGGAAAAATATGTAAGGCAAGAAGAGCAGAGCACAGGAGCCTTAACCATATATACCAAAAAGCAATTCTTTCAGGGTATACATGAAGTAGTTGAAAGTTCAAATGAAGAAAATTTTCAGCTCTTGGATATACAAACACCATCTATTTGTGATAATGAAGAAATCCTTGGGGAAAGACGACTGGAGATGGCTAGGTTGCAGATAGCGTACATCTGTGCCCAACAACAGATCATATACTTTAAAGCAAGTAATTTGAGCATGAAGTCAAGTATAAAATGGGCAGAAGAGAATCTTCATAGCCTAACCATCAAGGTAAACATGAGAAATGAGACTGAATTGGCATTGCAATTGTTAGAAATATAAGATTTCTAAAGTACTGCTACTACTTTAGAAAGGGGAATCTAATTTTAGTTTTATATTTGCTCAGTACTTAATTGTAGTATGTGTTTCATGCGTATTATTATTAATCATATTACCAGAACTTAGTAGTTTTATCTTCAGTCATACTACCTGGTAAATCTGAACCAAAATGCGTTAATTTGCATTATAAATTTGAAATTTGTGTCATTTCAAATTCAGATAAACTGGAGTTTCTATTTTATGATATATGCCAAAGAGACTACTTTCATGACTGTGGGTATTCTGCCCTGTTTCTCTGACAAGATGGTGTTAATGAAGTCAAAAGTTCAGGATTCAATGGAATGACCTTTTATTTGTTGAGAATGTGTAGATGTATTATAGTTGTTCATCTGTACTCTTTGGAAGCTTTCTTACTTGATAATGTAACCATTAGATAGTTGAATTAAAATGTAGATTTTTCTAAATCAGAATACCTGCATTAAATTAGTTACTACAACAAACAAAAATTTTGAAAGAATTAAAGAAGTCTGGTAAATTTTTGTGCTGTAATCAGCTGATGGACCAAGAAAATACCTGTTGAGATAATTTTAAGGAAAACTAAAATCTTCATTTGTTAACAATGAGTAAAATGCTGATAAAAATTATGATTAGGATAATGATGATATCCAGTTAGCCATTACTGTATACATATATAGTGTAAAAGCACTGAAATTCAGTAGTTCTTGCTGGCTTTTCTCTTGGCTTAATCCATATTTTCCCTTTTAAAACTAGTTTTGTATTATACTAATAAATTAGTTTTTATTCATTGAGCATATTGTCTGACCACCTAAAACAAAAAGTGAAAATAATTTTAAAATAAGAATTTAAACCTACAGTTTAAAATGTTTTGCTTTCTTTGTGTAGGCAGTTGGTGAAGAAAATTTGGATGCTAAAATTTCTAGCTTGAACAGTGAGATTCTAAAACTTAAAGAACAAATCACTCATGTGAAAGACAAAATTCTGTCTGCTGTGGTAAAAGAGAATGCCCAGTTACTGAACATGCCGGTAGTAAAGGGAGATTTTGATCTGCAGATAGCTAAACAAGATTATTATACAGCAAAACAAGAGTTTGTTTTAAATCAGTTGATAAAACAAAAGGCATCATTTGAGCTTGTACAGTTATCATATGAAATTGAATTGAGAAGACATTGGGATACATATTGGCAACTTGAAAATTTGGTTCAACAACTTAGTCAAAGAAATGTGGTGCTCTGTCAGCAATTAGAAACATTAACAGATCCATTGGCACCTGAGCAGTTAAGCTCCAGGACACCCATCAACACTAAAGATTATTCTACTTATAGGTATGTATATGTCATTGCTTTCTTAATACTTTTTAACTTGTGTGAAATACTAGAGAGCTTGAATAGAAATTGTAAAGGTTTAAAAAATTACTTGTACTTAGATTGGCCTTTCTGCTTTTCTTTTATCTTAAAAAAATTTTCGTTCCCTTTCTATTCATGTTAGGTCTGAATGTAGCCACTTAAAAGCTGAAGTCAATGAGTTGGAGGAATAAACTGCTAAAATATTTTTACTCCCACTTAGACACCATTATTTTAGATCTGGAACAGAAAAATAAATACAGCTTTATCATAGGTATTGCTGGACATGATACTGATTGTATTTGGGGAAGGTGGGAGTAGCTCATATCTATACTCCTAGCACCTAGAAGGCTGGTATAGAAAGATAGTAAGTTTGAGGCCATTGTAGCCTATAGAACAAGAATGTTCAGTAAACATTTGTTTTTTCAATTCTGTGTGACAATGGGATTAAACCTTTAATTTTAACTTTCTGGAAGCTAGGGCAGGGAAATCGTGAATTTGAGGTTAGTTTGGGCTACATAGCAAGAATTCTAGGATAGCCTGAGTTGCACAATATTAGAAACACATAAATTACTATTTTTCAATTGTTACTTATGGTGGATTGTTATAATTTTGAAAACTACTAACATGAACATTTTTCTCCTGAATTTTAAATTTTGTATGTTAGGCTTTATCAACTTTTAGAAGGAGACAATAAGAAAAAAGAATTGTTTATAACCCAGGAACACCTGGAGGAAGAGGCTGAGAAATTGAAACAAGATGTTTCTCTAATACAAGATCAGTTGGCAGTATCTACTCAAGAGCAGTTTCTCTTTATGTCCAAACTGAATAATGATGTGGACATGCTTTGTGATGCTTTGTATCACGGAGGGAACCAGCTATTGCTTTGTGATCAGGTGAGTGTTTTCCTAGAAATTTAAAATGCTTTTAAAAATTATGCTTATTGTAAGGGACTAGAGAGACAGCTCAGTAGTTAAAAGTACTTGCTGCTCTTGTAGAGGACCCATATTTCATTCCTAGAACCCACATGGTGACTCACAACCATCTGTGACTCTAGCTCTAGGAATTCTGACATCCTCAGCTTTTGTGGGTATCAGGCACATATGTGGTACACATACACAAATGCAAGTAAAAATTCTTATTCAAATAAAAAATAACCTTTAAAAATGTTCCTTATAAAAGAGGAGGAGCGATAATATGAACAAAGGAGTCAAGACCATGATGGGGAAACCGGAGCTAGTGAGAGATCCCTGACTCAGGTCTGACAAATGGGGAACCTACATAAGACAGAAATAGACTCCCTTAATATAGGTGACAGTGGTGTGACTGGAACAAAATATGAGGTCACTGGCAGTGGGTCCAAGATCTAACACTAATGCACAGACTGACTTAGAGGAGCCCATTCTATATGGAGAGACTCCTCGTTCAACCTAGACACGGGTGTGGGCGTGGAGAGGTGCCTTGGTCCTGTCTTATGAGATGATGGGACAGACTTAGTAGACTTCCTAGGAGAGGCCTTACCCTCTCCAAGGAGCAGATGGGAGGGGGAGAGTGGGGGGAGCCGGAGGAGAGGAGGGAAAGGAAACTGGGATTGGAATGTAAAAAATAATAAAAAAGAAAAAGTGTTCTTTTAAAAGAAAAGGTCATAAAGAAAAGATTACCACAGGGCGTTGGTGGCACACGCCTTTAATCCCAGCACTAGGGAGGCAGAGGCAGGTGGATTTCTGTGAGTTTGAGACCAGCCTTGTCTACCGAGCGAGTTCCAGGACAGGCTCCAAAACAAATCAGAGAAACCCTGTCTCGAAAAAAACAAAATAAAATTTAAAAAAATAGGAAAGATTACCTTATCCCATTACACTATTATAAAATTTATTTGTTTAGAGAGTCAGGTTCTTGCTGTGTGGCTTATGCTGGTCTCTAACTCAAAGTCTCCTGGATACTGGGATTACAGGCATATACCACCATATAAAACCTTATGATCTTTCTGTAACTCCTCATACACACTCAAATAATTTTGAATGCTGTGTATAGAATTTGAAAGTTAATAAATTTTCAGCCACTATAAAAGGATATGTAATATTGATGCTATATTAGGAAAGAAAACTTGTTATTTTAGCAAAGAGAGAATTGCTCTTCTGTCTTTGAAATCTTTGTGTCCACTTACTGGTACATGCTTCTGCTAATGGAATTCCCCAACTTTTGAGTAGTTCTGTCTTTGAGTTTTATTATATAAATAAATTCTTAGATAGTGTATTAACTTGTTTTTGAGCTTTACATGCATGAAATTATATATTTCAATAACTCATTTGTTCTTACCCTGTACCCTAAACTTAGTATTCAATCCCTGAGACTGTTGATCAAACCTAGGGCCTTCTACATGCTAGACAAGGACTTCATCGTTAAGGTGTAACCCCAGCAGTTTGTTTATTTATTTATTTATTTATTTATTTTTGAAACAGGTCTCATTGTGTGCTCAGGGTGACCTTAAACTTACTTTGTAGCTCAGGTTAGCCCAAAACTTGCAACCCTCCTTCTTTCACTTCCAGAGTGCTGGAATTATAAATGTTTCCCAGTGACTGGAATTCACTTGTTTTCATTTTGTTTGTTTCACTTTTTCTTCCTTCCTTCCTTTTTTTTTTTGAGACAGGCTATTCCTGTGCATTCCTGGCTCAACTGGGACACACTGTGTAGATCAGGCTAGTCTTGAAGCTCACAGAGATCTGTCTTCCTCTGTTTCCCTAGTTCTGGGATTAAACTTGTATGCCACCATGCGCAGCATGTGCTTATTTTTTAATATTGTTTTTGAAGCTCATGTATGTAAACATACATCAGTTTTTACCTTCATATTATTGTTCTGTTACACAAAACTTCAGTTACGTGTTCTCTCTAATTTTCTATGATTAGTCTTTGTGTTAGTTATGTATTCACACTTTTGTGTAGACCAAATACCCAACAGAAGCAACTTAAAGTAGAAGATAATTATTTGGCTTGTGATTTTAGAGGTTTAATTCATGATAATTTGGTCCCATGTGCTTAGAGCATCATCTTCAGGATAGGAAGCAGGAACACACACACACATTCTCTCTCTCTCTCTCTCTCTCTCTCTCTCTCTCTCTCTCTCTCTCTCTCTCTCTCTCTCTCTCACACACACACACACACACACTAGCTAGAAGGAGTCTTTAGATGTAGGTAGACTTTTTTATCATATATTCTTTTTTTTTTAATTGCACTTATTTGTGTGCTATGTGGGGATGCACAAGTGGAAATCAGGACACTTTGTAGAAGTTTGTTCTCTTCTTTCAGCTATATCTTTCCAGGGATTGAACTATGGTTGTCAGGCTTGGCTGTAATTGACATTGTCTACTGAGTTGTCTCTCCAGTTCATCATTGTGTTACCGTTTCTTGAACATATTATAAAGTGTGAAAATAAGCCAATTAAAATGAGTAGAATATTTCTAAAGCCTCATGATTAATTCTGAATTGTTCTAAATTGTTTTGTGATTCATAATTGTCACTTTCTACATCAAGAACATTAGTGAAAACTTGTGTTTTGTTCGAAACAGAATCTCATGCTGTAGCTCTTACTGGTCTGGAGTTTGCTACATAGACTTGTAGCAGGAGTATTTGCTCTGCCTCCAAGTGGTGGGATCACAGGTCTGAGCCACCACGCTCATTTGAAAAGAGTGCTTAGCCATCAATAGTCACCACATGAGGGTCTTTATGATAAGATGCATCTTCATTTCAGATATGTTGAGATCTGAAAAAAAAAGTGTATCCCAGTCTGACCTCAAACTTACAGCAACCCAGCCTCAGCTCTCCTACTGCTGGGAACATGTTAAGGGTTGGTTTTTTTCTTTTTTAATTTTTTATTACATTTATTTATTTTTGTGTGTGGAGGGGTGCTCATCTGTCTAGGGATTAGAGGGCAATTGGGAGTCTATTGTTTCCTTCACACATTTAGGTTTGGGGGATCAAACTTGGGTTATCAGGCTTGATAGCAAGTACCTTTGTCCACTGAGCCATCTCCAGCCTTATTTTTTTTGTTTTTCTTTGATCCTTTTTTTTAATGTTTTTATTTAAATTAGACACATGCATGCTTCAAATATCAATCCCAGCTCCTTTTCCCACCCCTTCTCTCTTGCCCCTCCCCCAGCCCAATCCCCACATCATTCCCCAGGGAGGGTGAGGCCCTCCTTGGGGGGTCTCCAGAGTCTGTCATTTCATCCAGGGCAGGACCTAGGCCCTTTCTCGTGTGCCCAGGCTGAGAGAGCATCCCTCCATGTGGAATGGGCTCCCAAAGTTCATTTGTACGCCATGGTGAACACTAATCTACTACCCAAGGCCCCAGAGGTTTCTGAGGCCTCCTCACTGAAACTACATTCATGGAGTCTGGATCAGTCCCCAGTTGGCCTCTCAACCATCAGTCTGGGGTTCAAGAGCTCCCCCTTGTCCAGTCAGCTGTCTTTGTGGGTTTCACCAGCACGGTCTTGACCCCTTTGCTCATCACCCCTCCATCTCTGTCACTGGGTTTCAGGGGGTCAGTTCTGTGTTTAGCTGTGAGTATCTGTCTCTGCTTCCATCAGTCACTGGGTGAAGATTCTAGGATGGCATATAAAGTAGTCATCAACCTTATAATCAGGTAGGGGCTATTAATGTATTCTCTCCGCTATTGCTTATTTTTCTAGTTGGTATTATCTTTGTAGCTCTCTGGAAATCTCACTAGTGTCAGCTCTCTCCTCAAAGCTATAATGACTCCATCTATTATAGTATCTCTCATCCTGCTCTCTTCTATTCTTACCCCTACTTAACCTTCCTGCTCCCCCATGTCTTCTTCTACCCTCCTCTTATTCCCTTCTCTTTTTCCTGGTTCTCTCTCCCCTGCCCCAATGTTCCCAGTCTGCTCAGTAGATCTTGCCTCATTCCACTTCTCTGGGGTATAATGCATATCCCTTGGGAACCTCCCTGTTTACGAAACTCACTGGCCCTGTGATTGTAGGCTGACATTCCCCTAATCCATGTCTAAAATCCATATATGAGTAAGTACATACCATGTTTGTCTTTTTTGTGACTGGGTTACCTTACACAGAATGGTTTCTTCTAGTGACATCCATTTGCCTGCAAATTTCAAGGTTCCATTGTTTTTTCTGCTGAGTAGTACTCCATTGTGTAAATGTATCTTTGGTCCTTTTTTTAAAGATAGGATCTCACCATGTTGCCCTAGATGGCTTGGAATTAACTATTCAGATCAGGCTATCCTAAAACTAAGAGATCTTTCTGCCTCTGTCTTCCAAGTTTTGAGGTTAAGAGTATGTGCCACCACTCTGACATAATATGGCTTTTTATTATGATTGTGAGAAGTTATTAAATGGGAATTTCCTTTTTAAGTTATATTTTAAATTTCGAATTGGTATTAGGGATAAAGTTCTTGAAATAAAGCTTTTTTTCTCCTCTTTTCAGGAGTTAATGGAGCATTTTCATCAAGTTGAATCTAAGTTGAATCAACTGAATCATCTTCTTACTGATATTCTTGCTGATGTGAAGACAAAAAGAAAAATTTTGGCAACAAATAAATTGCATCAAGTGGAAAGAGAATTATATGTATATTTTTTTAAAGATGAAGACTATCTAAAAGATGTTGTGGAAAATTTGGAAAACCAGTTAAAGATTAAGACCCCTGGTCTTAAAAACTGAATCTTTACTGTGCCTGCTGTGTTTTGATTTTTAAGTATTAAGAGGCTATTTTAATAAACACTACTAATTTTTTTTTACATTTATTTAGTTTGTGGGGAGGGATGCATGTATGTGCAGCCTTGTGTATTAGTGTGTACCATGATGATATGTGGAGATAAGAGAATATTTTGCAGGAGTTCTGTTATCCTACCACAAGAGCTCTGGGAATGGAAATCAAATCATCGGTCTTGGTGGCAGTGATCTCATCAGATTCGGTGCAAATAAGTCTATGAATTTAAGAACATTTTGTTTTAATAGATTCTGTGTCAATAGACTCAGAACTTCCCTAATCTGAAATGTTTAAATACTCCAAAATCTGAAACTTTATAAGCAACTGGGATATTTCTCAAGCGAAAAAAAAATCTATATCTGATCTTACATGATAGGTCAGAGTCACAAAATACATACTAAATTATAAAACTACCTTCAGTCTTATTTGTATAGAATTTGAAATATAAATGGATTTCCCATTTTGACTTGGGTTCTATCCTAAAACATCTAACTGTATGTATACAAAAATTAAAATATCTGAAACACTTTGGTCCCACTCATTTAGGGAAGGGGATATTAAGTTTGTGACGTTGGTTTTTAACCCATGTAACCATTGACAGAGTAGAAGTGCTGTGCTTTTGTAGCGTTGACTGGCCAGACCTGGCTTGAAGTTACGATCATCCAGTGCATGCATACTATACAAATGAATATAATTAAACCCCTTAAATTGGCATTTTTCTGTTATTGAGTATTTTATAGGATTTTGAGTTTTGTTTTTTAAGGTTTTAGTTATATGAGGTCAACTGTGATCTGAAAATACGGAATTGTAGAAAATCACAGAAATGAAGTTTTAAGTTGTATGCTTTCCTATGTATGTTGTGAACTCTGAAACCTCCCACCTGGGATGTGTTGTACCTTTGTTCAGTATATGTGCGCTGCATAATGACCTTTTTTACTAGTCACTTAATACCTGATAGTTAGCAGATACATAGATTTCGATACTATGTGCAGTTTCATTGGGGTTTTGAATTTTATCCTCTGTCAGTAAAATAATACTATTGTATATTCAATAGCCAAGTCTTGTATTTGACTAAAGTAAAATTCTGCTGCTGGAAGTATTTCCCCCTAATTCTCTATTGTAATCTTTGAGAAGTTCCAGTGTGTCTACTTGCACCACAGATTTTGAACATTTCCATTTTAGGGGTTAAGTTGTCCCATACTAGAGCTTTGACCGGTGTGATTATAACATGAGTAATGAAATTTAAGTTTCTGTGTAAGTGATTGCTTAAAGGATTTATGATACATGTTTAAATCACTTTCTTAGGAAAGGAAATGCTGGACAATTATTTTTAATGCCTTTTGTCACCTTCTGAATTTATTTTTATTTTATGTGCATTGGTGTTTTGCCATGGGTTTCAGGTCCCCGGAAACTGGAGTTACAGACAGTTGTGAGCTGCTGTATGGATTCTGGAATTGAACCCCATCCTCTGGAAGAATAGTCAGTGCTCATAACCATTGAGCCATCTCTTCAGCCCTGGACAATTAATTATTTTAAAGATTGGAAGTGGCTTTTTAGTTTGATTTTTAAATTGTTTTTTGTTTTTCCAAACAGGGTTTCTCTGTAGCTTTGGAGCCTGTCCTGGAACTTGCTGTATAGTACACCAGGCTGGCCTAGAACTCACAGAGATCCACCTGCCTCTGGTTTCTGAGTGCTGGGATTAAAGGTGTGCTCTGCCACTGCCCAGCTAAATTCTTTTTTTTTTCCTTGTTTTTTGTTGTGTTTTGGTTTTGTTTTTTTGAGACAGGGTTTCTCTGTATTGTTTTGGAGGCTGTCCTGGAACTCACTCTGTAGACCAGACTGGACTCGAACTCACAGAGATAAATTGGTTTTTTAAAGGTACAGTCTTTAAAAAAATCTTGTAGCCCAGATTGGCCTTCAATTCATGATCTTGCCTTGACCATGCTGGGATTATCAGCACATACTACTAGACTTGACTGCCTATCAGATGTTTTATAAAATGCTCCCAAAGAGTTCATTTTATGATATATCTGTCAAATACTAAATACTGTAAAAGTTCAGCTATAGGAAATACCTCTAAGAATATTCTTTACCTTTGTTATATAGTTTGCCAGTCTTAAAAAATACATAATTTTATGGACTTTTTCAAGATATAACTAAAGGTAGAAAATGGCCATGCACTGTATTTTTATAATCCATCAAGCAAATGCATTTTTGTCAATTATTGTATCATGTTACATAAGTTTATTTTTGTTAGGTGAACCTAATGTACTTGAAAAAAAAACCTTTAACATTAAATTTTGTCATAATTAACTGTCAGACCAAGCAGTAGTAGTGCACACCTTTAATCCCAGCACTTGGGAGGCAGAGGCAGGTGGACCTCTGTGAGTTAAGACCAGCCGGGTCTACAAATCTAGTTCCAGGATAGCCAGAGCTGTTAAATAGAGAAACTCTGTCTCCAGAACAAACAATGCCCCCTCTCCAAAAAATGATTTAACTGTCATCTGTTCATTTGAATGTCTCAAATAATGTGGGAAAATGTGATAACTGCTTTCTTGCTGAGTGCCAAGTAATTTAGCTTTTTTTTTTTTTCTTTTTTGGTTTATTGAGACGGGGTTTCTCTGTGGCTTTGGAGGCTGTCCTGGAACTTGCTCTTGTAGACCAGGCTGGTCTCGAACTCACAGAGATCCGCCTGTCTTTGCCTCCTGAGTGCTGGAATTAAAGGCGTGTACCACCAATGCCTGGCTGATAATTTAGCTTTATGAGCCAGATTTTCTGTAATTCCCACCTAAACCTTTACCTACTCAGCCAGGGGGACCAATAGAATGTGTCAGTGCCAAGGTGGTAGGTTGTTTGTTTACCTTGTTGACCCAAGTCAGTTTTAATTACTGTATCGTCAAAATTGTGTGCTTGAAAATTAATACTAGCCAGCTTTAAGAGCTGAGGAGTACTTAAGTAAACTGGTTAATTAGAAAGTATTTTTATGTTAATCATGATTCCTCAGATGAGCCTCTGTTTGGTCTTGTTTTGATTTGTAGCACTAAGAATCAAATCTAGGGTTTATACATACCAAGCAAATGCTCTACCACTGAGCTCCATCCCCAACGCTTTTTTAAAAATATTTGAGATTGGGTCTTGCTAATTTGCCCAGTTATTCTTGAACTTGCTCTGTAGCCTAGGCAGGCTTGAAGTGTGTCCTACCTCAGCCTCCTAATTCAGCTTGTACCAACAGGCCTCACTCCTTAGTTTTTCATCCTATCTGTGTTAGATAATCAAAACCTGTTTCCTGTAGTTTGTTAACCTTTTAAATGAAAATATACATATGTCCTTTTAAAGTCTTAAAATTAATATATGGGTACTTATCTTATATTTAGGACTTTATGAAAATGGAAAGTTATGAGGCATGTGTAGGTTTTGATCTCTGTAAGACACCCCTCTCCACTGTTGCTCAGAAGATTATGTGTGCTATGCGTTCAGGTGCTTTCATGGATTCTAAGAATGAGGGAGAGAGTACAAACAGTAAGTAATTTTATGAACTTTTTATTGTCTTGAATGTCAATTATTTTAAAAACTAAGACTTAAAGGTGAAATGAATACAATAAAATTATTCCCTAGAACTCGTTTTGTAGGGATTTCCATTGCCTACAAAAGTGGTTTCCAATACCCTTCCTTCCCCATTATTGTCACTAAATTCAAAGTCCTTTAACCCCAGTGGTTTAATAATACACTCTTCCTTGTTCCGAGTATTCTAGTATCTTCAAAGGAAATGATCTCTTTCATAATGTCCTATGCTTGACTCTTAGATTATTGAATTTGTAATTGTACTTGGTATTGTATGTGATCATAAGAGAAGTGTTTGTCATTATATTATACTGTCATAAAATGTATTAATTCTGGGTATCAGAGAGGAATGGTTTTGTGTATGTGGGTTTATGATGCATAATAGTAACAAGCTGTGGCATATACTCTCAGGCACAGGTATACCTGAAAGATTTGTAACATTAGGATTTTTTTAAACTAGCAAAGCCAGTAATTTGTGGTTTATTTCTTTTCCTATAAAATAAGTTCTAAGTCATATTAAGTTAGGATATTGGGATGAAATCTTTGAGAGTATTAGCACAAATGTTGTCCATAAACACAGTTTCTCAGGTAAGAGACGGTAGCACTTGGGGCTGGAGAGATGGCTCAGTGGAAAAGTCAGCAGGCTTGAGCAGCTGAGTTTGAATCCCTTGTACTCAGGTAAAGAAGCCAGCCAGGCAAGGCTACATGTTACATGTGTCTCTAACCTCCACATTGGAGGTGGAATCAGGTAGATCTTGGAAATTCACTGGCCACCCAGCCTAAATGAAAATTACTGCTTGCATTGGTATAATCTCCATTTTTTTTCAAAATTCTTTCATTGCTCAAAGGTCACCACTGTCCTGACTTTTATTACAACTGCTTCCTAATGAAGGCATTTATTTTCCAAAATTTTATTTATTTATTATGTATACAATGTTCTACTTGCGCATTTGCCTGCACATCAGAAGAGGGAAGAGGGCACCAGATTTCATTATAGATGGTTGTGAGCCACCATGTGGTTTTTGGGAATTGAACTCATGACCTATGGAAGAGCAACCAGTGCTCTTAACCTCTAAGCCATCTTTCCAGCCCATGAATGCATTTTTATTTTGCTTCAAAGACCTTTTTGTCAGAGATTACTTAGCTGTCCTATAATAGTCCAGACTTCCTTTCTGAGGTACAGAGGTGTGTGCATGGCAAAGTGTGAACGTAAGCAGTGAGTGCTCCTGCCAAGGCAATATCAAAGATGGCCAACTTGCTTCCCAGTTGGAACTCAAGGTCGTTTTTCTTCAGTCCTGTCTAGATAACAGTATCATGTGGTGGGGGACCTTGGACTGTGAGTGATTCATGAAACAGCTCTACCACCACTGAGACCTTTAATCTCAGAACATGAAGAAATGAGCATACACTTTGTTCTCTAAACCATTTTATTAGCTCTTTAGTGCCTTTAGCTTAGGTGTTTGTTTGTTGTTTCTTTATATTCAGAGTAGGATTCATCTGTAAATTTTTTGGCATTAAATTGTTCACTAAGACTGTTAAAAATGTTTGGCAATTACTAGGGTCAAAGGAGTTTTTTGTTGTTGGTTTTTTTTGTTTGTTTTTCAAGACAGGGTTTCTCTGTGGCTTTGGAGGCTGTCCTGGAACTAGCTCTTGTAGAACCACAGAGATCCGCCTGCCTCTGCCTCCCAAGTGCTGGGATTAAAGGCATGTGCCACTACCACCTGGCTCAAAGAAGTTTTTAAGGTTAGCTGGTATGCTACGTTATCTTGTGATTAAGAATGTTTTTATCAGTAAATTTGTCTATTTTATCTTTATTTTCATAGGAAAAAATTACATACATTTATTAGAACTTTTTAAGTTGGAGTTTGAAGATATGTATATTCAAAATATGTTTACAAACATGAATTTATAAAAGTTTGATTCCCCAAAAAGTATTTGACATAATCCATTTAATGTGAAGCTTGTCTTTATTCTCACTATCTAGTAATATTTAGCAATTTCAGGGACAGAATGAAAAACTAGAAGGCAGTATAGATCTATGATGATTATATCCCTTCTAATTAGGGATAAACAAGTTACATTGTTATGTTACTAAATAAATATAAAATCCTTACTTCGGGCTGGAGAGATGAACCAGAGGTTACGAGCACTGACTGCTCTTCCAGAGGCCCTGAGTTCAATTCCCAGCAACCATATGATGGCTCACAACTATCCATAATGAGATCTAGTGCCCTCTTCTGACCTGCAGGGACAATGCAGACAGAACACTGTACACATAATAAATCTTTGGGGGAAAAAAATCCTTACTTCAAATTATTTACACAACCCTGCTTTCTGCCTCATGGGGATTTTTGAGGAAGTCTCCACGTTACTTTTTATTTTCAGTTGACTGCCACTTTGTTTTTTTTTTGTTTTTTTTTTGTGTCATGGCTTCAGGTTATTCTTTTGTCCTTGCTTTCTGGAAAGTTTGTCATTAGAATATTCTTATGTATTCTTATGTGTCATCTGACTCCTGCCCTTTATATTATATTCTACTAGTCACTATTTTCTATCATTTTGGTGTTGTCCCATTCAGATTTAACTATGACTCCTGAAAATGTGACACTTTTCTGTGTTCCCCTGTACTTAGCATTTCCTTTTTGATCTTTCTTTACAGTTCTTAGTGTTTTAGTACTTGTTTCCTGTGTGAATATAGATGCAGATTTTCTCAATAAAATACTTGCAAACGGAGTTTAATACCACATTAAGAACATCTTACAACATGATCAAGTTAGGCTTTTTTTGTTTTGTTTTGTTTTCCTTTTTCAGGACAGGGTTTCTTTGTGTAGCTCTGGCTGTCCTGGAACTTACTCTGTAGACCAGACTGGCTTCAAACACACAGAGATCCACCTGCCTTTCTTTCTGAGTGCTGGGTTAAAGGTATATACCACTACTGCTGGCGATCAAGTTAGTTTTACTCCAAGGTTATAAGGGTGGTTCAAAACAAGCAAATAGTAAATTAATTTAGTACACAAATAGAACCAGGGACAGAAATCACATACTTACCTCAGTAGATACATACATTTGACAGAGTTCAATACTCTTTCATGGTAAGTGTCCTGAAGCAACTATATCTAGAATAACCATATCTTACCATAGTAAGAGGCAGCATCAGGTAACAGCACTTCCTCCAAGCTTGACCACCTGAGTTCAGCCCCAGGTTCTACCTGGTCAACATGGAGAACTCCTCAAAGTTGTCTTCCTGACCACACGTACACACAAACATAAATAAATGTAATTTAAATCTAAGGTTTAGGAAGATAGCTCTGTGGTTAAGGTACTTACCATACAAGTATGAGGACTGGAGTTCAGATTCCCAGAATTCATGTAAATGCTGTGTGTGTGTGTGTGTGTGTGTGTGTGCTTGTGAGTTCGTTCTAGCCTTGGAACGTGGAGATGGGATCCCTAGAGAAACTGGCTAGTGAGACCAGCATTATAAGTGAACTCAGTTTGATTGAGAGGTTCTGCCTCAATGACTAAGGTAGAAGAGTGATGGGAGATAATTCTTTACATCAACTTTGGATCTTTACATACAAGCACACTCAAACATATATGCCTACACATGCAGACATGCATATACGCATTTGCACACCACACATAAAAATGGAAAAACAGTACATTTAAAAGTAAAGGCTATATACAGAAATCCTATCACAAACACCATACTAAATGGAGAAAAAATTGAAATCATTCCCTGTAAATTCAGGACTAGGAAAACAGTGTCTACTTAGTGGGATAGCTCACCAGGTAAAGATGCTTACTACTGACAAATTGAATTCAGTCCCTAGGACCCATGTGATAGGACAGAAACAACTCTTGAGAGTTGTCCTCTGACCACTGGCACCCTATGGTAAGCACAGGGCACCCCAAAATAAATATTAAAAAGAGAAATATCTATCCTCTCCATTGTCCAGAGTAGTTCTTGAATTCTTAAGCCAGAGAAATAAAGGATACACACAGCAAAGGAATATGTCCAACTATCTCTATTTACAGGCTGTGATCCTATACTTAAAAGATCCTGATAACACCAGAAAACTCATATTTTCATCAAAGTAGTAAGATTACAAAGTCAGCATCAGTTGCTTTTCTATATAACACAGTAATCAACATCTTGAAAAACAATGAGGCCAAGCATGGTGGTGCGTGCCTTTAATTCCAGTACTTGAAAAGGGCAGGATGTTTGAGGCCAGCCTGATCTACATAGCAAGTTCCAGGACAGTCTGGACTACATAGACAAACCCTGTCTCAAGAACAACAACAAAAAAAAAAATACAGAAGTGGGAAGAAGAAAAAACTAGAAATAAACCTAAACAAAGTGCAGGATTTTTACAGTGAAAACAGTAGCCCCAAAGGAAGAAATTGAAGACATTAGAAGATGGGGAAAAAAAAACCTTCACTGAGCTGGGTGTTGGTGGCGCATGCCTTTAATCCCAGCACTAGGGAGGCAGAGGCAGGTGGATCTCTGTGAGTTTGAGGCCAGCCTGGTCTACAGAGCAAATTCCAGGACAGGCTCCAAAACAATACAGAGAAACCCTGTCTCGAAAAACAAAAACAAAACAAAACAAAAAACCTTCACTGGCTGGCAGAAGGAAAATGACTTGCCAGAAGCAATCTACAGAATCAGTACAATCCCAATCAAAATTCCAATGTCATTAATGACAACTAGAAAATACTCCTAAAATTAATATGAAAGTACAAAAGTCCTCAAGATGTCAAAGCAATTCTGAGTAGAAAGTATGCTACAGGTATCACAACACTTGCTCTCAAGTTATTCTACAAAGCAGTAGTAACAACAACAGTATGGTGCTGACACAAAAACAGAGACCAACAGTGGGCTAGAATTGAGGACCCTGAAATAAACCCATGGAGCTGCAACCATCCAGCTTCCAGCAAAGATGCTGAAATATGTTGTAGAAAAGACAGCATCTTCAATTGGTGCTGGGAAAACATTAATGTAAGACCTGAAACTACTAAAAGAAAACAGGAAAAACAAAGATACAGGCACAAAACTTTCTGAGTAGGACTCTAGCCCAAGAAATTAGCAAGAATTGACAAGAGGTATTACACAAAATGAAATTTGGGCATTGTGGGGGAATAATTAGTGAAGAGACAGCCTACAAAATGTAAGAAAATCCTTACTAGCTATGAATATAACAGTATTGACATCTAAACTTTTCTTTTTCAAGACAGGGTTTCTCTGTGTTGTAGTCAGACTTTCTTTGGACTGCCAGCTCCCAAATAATGACATGGAGACTTCTTATTAATTATGAAAGCTTGGCGTTAGCTTCAGCTTGTTCCCAACCAGCTCTTATAACTTAAATTAACACCTTTATATTAATCTATGTTCTGTCACATGGCTCATTACCTCTCGTCCATATCCTGCATATGACCTCCCATGTCTTGTTGGTGAATCCTTTGAACTTAAGATTTCTCTCTCCCTCCCCCCAGTTCCTCTTTCCCCCAGAAGTCCTGCCCATCCTCTCCTGCCTAGCTATTGTCCATTCAATTCTCTATTAAACCAGTCAGAAGGTGCCTTAGCAGAGACACATTTTCACAGTGTACAAAAAGGTTATCCCACAACACTCTCTAGTTTTGGCTGTCCTGGAACTGGTGCTGTAGATGAGGCTGGCTTTGAACTCAGAAATCCACCTGCCTCTGCCTCATGAGTGCTGGGATTAAAAGCATGCACCACTACTGCCCAGGGTTTCTCAACATTTTTAAAATTCAAGAAATTAAAAAAAAATCATCCAGTTAATAATGAACAGGTAAATCAAACAGTTCTGAAAAGAAATATAAACTACCAGTAAATACATCAAAAGTGTTAATGTTCTTAGTTATCAGGAAAATTCAGATCAAAACAATTTTTTGAGATTCCATCTCACCCCAGCCATAATGTCTGTCATTAGTGAGACAAAAATTGAGACTGGACAGTTGGCTCTGTGGTTAAGAGCATTTGTTATAAAGAACCTGGGTTTAATTCCCAGTACCCACGTGGAGGCTCACTATCTTCTCCAACACAAGGCATACATGTAGTACACAGACAAACATGCAGGCAAAACACTCATAAAATAATGAAAAATCTTAAATTTTTTAAAGAGTTTTTTAAAATTTGCTGTTCAGAGTGTAAGATGGGGGGAGGCATAATGAATATGTAAATTTTCTCACCAACCATGGAAATTAGTATAAAAGCTCTTGAAAATATGCCTGGGCAGAGGTTGCACATGCCTTTAATCCCAGCACTCAGAAAGCCAGCCTGGTCTACAGAGTGAGTTCCAGGACAGCTAGGGCTACATAGAGAAACTCTGTTTCCAAAAACCAAATAAATACATATGATCTAGATGTATACTTCAGGGTATATATCCAATGGAATCAAAGTCAGATATCTACACACCTATTCACAATAGCCAGGTTATAGAGTCAGCATACATGTCCAATTAGGGTTCTCTAGAGGAGCAGAACTGATAGAATGAATATATATATAAGGCACATACATATGAAGAGAAAGACCCAGCTAGTCCAACAATGGCTGTCTGCCAATGTAAGGGCCAAGAATCAGGTAGTTGTTCCATGAAACTGAATGTCTCAGTTGGTCTTCAGCATATGCCAAAATTCCAAAGAAGTAGACTCTAATGCCAGTGAAGAAATGTACTTGCAAGCAAGAGCAAAAACAAACAGACCAAAAACTAAACAAGTCTAGCAGAACTGAACTTATTAAGGGAGTATTTTCATCCACTCAGGACAGAAATCACATAGAATTTGAACAGTGAATGTTTAAATCTTTATTGACTAGATGGGTTTTAGCCACCAAGACATATAAAGGTTTCTGAAAGATCTAAGTAGCAGACAGGGAGCAGCTTCCTCTTGACAAAGCTGGAGTAGAATGTTGAAAAAGGAAGTGTTCATCCCCTGGCAGTGTTCCTCCAGCACCCTCTATTGACTAAGTCTAGCATTGTGCCAAGTGTTTGCAGGGTCAGCTCCCGTATTGTAAGCAGGAAGGAAAGCCAAAAAATTCACATTCACTTAGGTTGGACAGTATAAACAAACCTTCAGCTAGGCGGCGGTGGTGCACACCTTTAATTCCCACACTTGAGAGGCAGAGGCAGGTGGATTTCTGTGAGTTCATGGCCAGACTACAGAGCTAGTTCCAGGACAGTCAAGGCTCCACAAAATAACCCTGTCTCAAAAACCAACCAACCAAACAAGCAAACAAACAAACAATCAAAAAAAAAAAAAAACAGAAAAAGAAAAAGGAGAGAGAGAAAGAAGAAAAAAGTTTTTTATTAGATGTCTTGCTGCTCAGTGAGTAGGAGATAAACCCTAAGGAATTCAGAAGCCTTAGGGGGTGTAAAAGGGTATCCCTTTGTAAGTAAAGAACAAATTACAGCATTTCATTCCTCCCACCACTAAGAAAAAGGCATAGAATCCGATAGGAAATTTGCAAAGAATAAAGGCATATATCCTATATTTATGAATGTGTTCTATCCCATACAGTGAATGATACAAAAGTCACCTGATTTGTGTAGGGCCTACAGTAGATGGGGTGCCAATGAAGTCCAGGCACTGAAGCAAGTGTCCCAGCCGTATACATTGCCAGCCCAACAGATCTTCTGGTATTAGAGGTGGGGAACAAATAGGTGTGTGATTTTTAGGGTCCTTTTTTAAAATAAATATGTATCTTTTCTTTGTTAGATTTATTTATTTCATATATATGACTGTTCTAGCTGCATGTATGCCTTTATGCCAGAAGGGAACATCAGATCCCGCCATAAATGGTTGTGAGCCACTATGTGGGAATTGAACTCAGGACCTTTGGAAGAGCAGTCAGTTCTCTTAACTGCTGAGCCATATCTCCAGTCGGGGGGGGGCGGTTTAGGGTCTTATAAGAGAATAATAATACTCCAAGACCATGAAACAAGGCTATGTCATCTCCATCAGAGAATAATAAATATTTTAAAAGATTAAAATTAAACTAAAATTGCCCCCGCCATGCTACGAGCTCTTGGTGGAAATGGAGCACGAGACTATTCAGCTAACCTTGAATCCCAAACTGCCAAACATTGTCCAGTCTGTCAGAGTATCAAGAGGGTTTGCAGCAATATATTGTATGATGGAAGTGCTTTATTTAGTTTGGGTACACACTGGCTAATAGGCACAACTGGCTGCCTGGTTTCAGACCTGCGTGGCTTGGCTTATAATGTGTTGTCTCAATGTACAAAAAAAAAAAAACTGAAAATGGAGTGCAAATGTACCATATTCCAGTTCAGGCACTCTGAAAGACATGTTGAAGATAAATCCAAGGGATTAAACTTTGGGTGATTTACTTGACCATCTACATTGGGTAGGGAAACCAAGGTTAGAAAACTTTGGTCCTATAGACAGTGTGGTGATATCTTTCTTGCACAAATAAAGCCTGTCTGGGAGAATGGAGCAAGCTAGGCACACCTTACCTCTTAAGTGTCTCAGCAAAGAAGAGAGCGATTTCCAGTTTTTCCCTGCTTATATCCTGTTTCTGCCCAGCTGCATTACTTTCTGTTTATGCAGACCTCCAGATTGACCAATATGGAATAACAAAGGTCAGAAGGCCTGACACTGGGAGTTTTTTGTTTTGTTTTGTTTTGTTTTTTGAGACAGGGTTTCTCTGTATTGTTTTGGAGCCTGTCCTGGAACTCACAGAGATACTCCTGCCTCTGCCTCCCAAGTGCTGGGATTAAAGGCGTGCGCCACCACCACCTGGCCTCATTCTTGATCAGCAAGCATTTTACAAATAGCACTCCAGCCAAGGGTTATTAAAATTAAAATCTAAATTAATGTATTTGTATCTGTGATGTTTCTCTGAGCTCCTAATTATTCTATTGCATTGTTATTCAGCTTAACAGTTTTCTCAAACTCTTAGTACTTATGGTGTCTCCAAAATGTTACGGTTTTCAAAATAATACTCAAGTGTACATGCCTTTAATCCAGCACTTTGGAGGTAGAGGAAGAAAGATCTCTGTGAGTTCAAGGTCTTCGGAGGGAGTTTCAGGACAGCCAAGGCTACACAGGGAAACCCTTTCTTGAAAAGCCAGAAAAAAAAATACTCAAATTCCAAGTAATCACAAATAAGTATTTCATAATTATTGATCTGTCTTCTGTTAATTTAAAGACACTTTATGTAGCCAATTACTACAATTGTCTTATGCATTTTGATTGTGTTGATAGTGGCTTAATAGCATAATGAATAATTTTCAAAGGTTAGCTAATTCTGTAATTTTTTGTTTTGTTTTGTTTGAGACAAGGTCTCTATATGCAGCCCTGGCTGTTCTAGATCTGGCTATGTAGACTAGACAAGGTTCAAAACCACAGAGATCCATCTGTGTCTGCTCCCCAAGTGCTGAGATTGCAGTCATGTGTCACTATGCCTAGTTTTTAATTATTTTTTAATGTTTAATTTTTATTTGTTTTTTAAGCTTCAAAAGTGACCAAAAATTCCAGTGTTCATTATTCAGTATTAGCTGACCAGGAGAGGACTCAATCACTAGAAACAAAGGTAAATTCTTGCAAACATGAGTAATTCTAAACAGATGATTCTCACTTGTTAACTAATATTTAATAAGTATCATGTTATATGCTAAAAACTACAGATACAATGCTTTTAAAAAGTTTTTTTCTGCATAGCATGTGGATTAAGCTGGACAGGTGGTGAGGAGGATGAAACATCCCACACATCTGCTTCATGTGTGCATTAAGTGCTGTGATAGCAGTTAGTGTCGTGTTCTCTGAGACCAAGCTTTGTGCTGTTGCAGTTTGCATTTCTGAGCAGTAGGGGTAGGGCATTGAGGTAGGTATCTTTTTGCAATGTGAAAATTGTATCTGAGTTGAATGTAATGGGTCATTAGGAGTTGGCCAAGCTGAAGGTTCCAGATTTAGGGAGTAGGAGAAAGATCTTGAAAATCTTTAAGAGAAAGAGCTTGAAACTTTCGTGAGCTGATCAGTTTTGGCTATACAGGAAGAAGAAGACGTCATGTAATGAAGGCCTTGTTTAGGAAACAGTGGTGGAGTTCGCCTCCTGGTGGAGAGAATAGACTCTGAAGCAAACTGCTTGTTCAGATTCTAACCAAATTTTTTGTTTGTTTGTTTGTCTGTTTATTTTAGTTTTTCAAGACAGGGTTTCTCTGTGTACCTTTAGAGCCTGTCTTGGAACTGTCTTTGTAAACCAGGCTGGCCTTCAACTCACAGAGATCTGCCTGCCTCTGCCTCCTGAGTGCTGGGAATAAAGTTGTACTCCACCACCTCCCCAACTTTGTTTTTGTTTTGTTTTGTTTTTTGTTGTTGTTGTTTGTTTATTTGTTTGCTATTTCTTTTCTTTTTTGAGAGAGGGTTTCTCTGTGCATCTCTGGCTGTCCTGGAACTTGCTACGTAGATCAGGTTGGTCTTGAATTCACTTGCCTCTGCTTCCCAAGTGCTGGGATTAAAGGAGTGTGCCACCACTGCTGGGATCCTATTTTTTTAAATGCTATTTTATATATTTTTGGTTTTTTTTGAGGAGGTCTCACTATGTAGCCCTGTCTGCCCCGAAACTCACTATGTAGACTGTGGTTCAAACTCATGGAGATCTATTTGGCTGTGTCTGCCTCCCAGGTGCTGGGATTAAAGGCATATAGTACTTTATCTAGCAAAAGCTATTTTAAAGTTTTATTGCATTTTTATTTATTTATTTTTATTGGTGGAGATGCACATGCCATGGAGCATATGTGGAAGTTAGAGGACATTTTGTAGAAGTTGGATCATTTTCTACCATGTGAGTCCCAGATATCTAATTCAGCTCTCTAGGCTTGATGGCAAGTGAGTCATCTTGCCAGCCCCCAACCTAATTTAAAATTAAACTCCCTTTAGTAAAGTGGAAATAATGTTAGGATCTATCTCTGCTACTACTGACTGATTATTTGGCTCTAGAATTTTAAAAAGTCTTGTATTCCCTGAAATATTTTAAAGTTGAAATTTAAAACATTCACCATAAGTTTCTAAAGTTGCAAAGAACGTGATTCTAGTAGGTTGTTAATATTGGCATTTTAAAATTTTTCATGAAATTTAAAATACATCCACTGTGATTCAAAGTACACTCTGGCAATTTGATAGCACTGTCACCCCTTAAAAAACACATGAGCAAGATCTTTGATAGTCTGGTCTTATTGAATTCCCTTTCTTGAGTACTCCTCCACAGAATTTTTAATTAATAAAATTTTATGACTAAAAGTCTGTTCTTGGAACCACAAACTATTTATGTGCAATAAAAATATAACTATAAATGTTAAATTTTCTCTGGAATATGGCCAAGTATTAAGACATTTTCTTTTAAAATTATATTAATGTACAGTTGTCCAAAGCAAGAGATAAATTATAAATTTGGAAATGAACATTAAAACACAAAGTACCATTGTAAACAAGTCTTCTAATGAAATGGGTGGAGATGCTTTTCTCATTTTAGTGGATGGATCTGTAGTGTAGATTGCTGGAATGAGGACCAGGATTGTTGAGCTGTATTTTTGTTAATTTAATAGGTCAATTAGCATTAGTTTTTATGATTTCATTTTCTCTATGACTGACCTCTACTTGGAAATGTAAATTGCGGGCCTCACTCTTGTTCATTATCTTCTGAGATACATGACTTCCAGCACAGGGACTAGAGGAAACATTCTGAGCTCTTACCTGCTCTAGCCCCAGGATCTAGCTATGCAGTCTAGAAAGACTCTGTCTAGCTTTGTTGGAAATGTGGTTCCAGGGCTGGAGGGGTGGCTCAATGAGTGGTAGAACATTTGTTCAGTAAACATCACAGAAGAAGAAAAGAGAAAGATCACAGATAATGTAAAACTTGTGTCCTCATATTATCTTTGATAAGCTGTATCAGAAATTGACTTGGTTTATAGGCATGTCTTGCGAACACATGTTGTGATGAAATATTTTCCTTCTTTTTCTGCAGAATCCTAAGTTATTAATAACCCAGACACCTAAAGGATCTGTCAGGTCCTTTCCTCAGTCCTCCATTGCTAATCTCACAAGTCAGCTTTCTGCTGGTCAAGTACAGAACAGCATCAGTGCTTTGGCTCTTTCCAGTTATTTAATTCCACAGAGTTGTCAGAAAGCTCTAGTCTTACAGAAGATGGAGCATACAAGAAAGCCCTTCCTAAAGGAAAATATAGCTAAAGAAAGTGAGGAAAGCTTGAATCTTAAAAGAAAACTTATTACATGTAGTGATTACCCAGAAAAAACAAGTAAACACATAGCACTGGAAGAAGATACTGATGAGGCTGAAACCGGGCTAAACTCTGAAGACACGAGAATGTTTGGAAAACAGCTTTGTGATGTTAGGTACTTGGATGATTTAGCAAAAGTACAGCTGATGGATGTAGTCAAGCAGGCAGAAGCCCTGGTTGTGACACTGATGTATGAGGATGGTTCCACACAGCTCAGAACCAACCAGGTAAGTAAACAGCAGTGTCACATGCCTGTGGCACTAACACTCGAGAAACTGGGGCAAGAGGATAACTTGAACTCTGGAATTTGGAATCAGCCTGGGAAACATAGTAAGAAATCATTTCAAAATAAATCCTCTTTCTGATTTTGATAGGAGAGCTAGAAATAAGATTTTAAGACTTCCTGTCCTCACTTTGGCAAGTGATTCTGACAGTGTAGGGTTTCTGTCCATTCTAGGCAACTAAGTTCACTTACTGGCCCAATTGCATTGAGTCTTTTGTGGTGGCTAGCTTGGCATGTTAGGTCTTCAGTCGGGCCAGAGAAATAGCTTTCCCTTCTGGGCCTCCACAGAACCCTGATCAAGGCCACTGTAACAATCCCTTCTCTGAAAGGAAGAATCATTTAGTATCCAAACAGGGCTAAGAGCCCCCAAACATTTTGATTTCTGTTTCTGAAAGGTATCTTGTTGGGTGATAATATTAGTTGAGGCCTAGGTATGATAGTGTATGCCTATAATCCCAACACTCAATCAAATGTTAAGACAAGGAGGAACAGGAGTTCTAGGCCAGCCTGAACTACATAGATGACTCTGTCTAAAGAAGAAAAATCAGTTGGGGGTGGGGAGGTGGCTCAGTAAGTAAAGTGCTTGCTGTTTAAGCATGAAAACTGCATGTGGATTCTATATAAAGTTGGATGCGATAGCATGTGTTAGTAATTGTGGGGCTCCTATGGTAAAATGGGAAGCAAATCCAAGAGAGTCAGTTGCCTGAAGTTCTAGGGTCAGTTAGCCTGGCATATACAGTGGCAAGCACTGAGAGACCCTGTCTCAAACAAGGTGAAAGATGGAGACCAACACCCAAATTTGTCTTCTAAGCTCCACATATGTGCTATGGTATGTCTGTACCTGAATTCCCACATGGACATGCACAGAGATTTTTAAATGGTATATTATTTTTTAAGTTTCATTGTAGATGCTACTCCTTTGTCTTATAGTTTGCTTTCATAAAGCAATATATCTGTTTAATTTTGTGGCATTGTATTACTATGTCTTCACAGACTTTAACTTGCCCTGTTAAAGGAATTATAGTGTTACTAAAAAGTCATGTAGACAGCAGCCGTCTAATTCCCACAGCCCGAAGTAGTGTTCTGGGAGAGAACTCCACATCCACAGATCACTGTATCTACATGCATACCAAGCATTCCCATTTCTGGGACCCAAAGAAAGAGGCACATACTCTATTTGTCAAGTAAGAAATCTTATTTACTATATTAAGTGTAAGGCTCTTCAAGCTCTTCTCCCCCAGAGTTTCTAGAATGGAAGATGCATCCTGATGCCAAGGAGGCCTGTTCTAGTATTGTGACGACTTTGCAATGAGATGTTAGAGGGAAGCCTCATCTTCCATCCTGAAAACCCACTGCCACTACCAGGGTTCGAGGTGGTTTTCACTAGAATTCTAGTTTCCTTCTGTATAGCATAGGAGATAAGTTATCACTGCCTGGAAACACTAAATTGTATTCTGGTAATCCTGTCTGAAAATGTGGCTTAGGTATGTGTGGTACCACAAACAGTTTTTCTGTATAGGATTAGTCCCCAGGGTGTTTGTTTTGAGGTAGTAGATCCTTAGAGAAGGGACTCAGCAGGTGGTGGGTAGGTCATGGGGGTTCCTCTCTCTTTAATGGATTAGTACTGGTCTTTTTTTTTTTTTTTTTTTTGGTTTTTTCGAGACAGGGTTTCTCTGTGGCTTTGGAGGCTGTCCTGGAACTAGCTCTTATAGACCAGGCTGGTCTCGAACTCACAAAGATCCGCCTGTCTCTGCCTCCTGAGTGCTGGGATTAAAGGCGTGCACCACCGACGCCCAGCTAGTACTAGTCTTTCAAGAGTGAATTTTCACACTAGTGGGCTGGTATGAGGTAAGACCACCATGTGCTCTGCCCCTTGTATCCTTGATTGGTTCCCTTTCTGTCTTTCATGCTGTGATGCTGTGAGGGGCCCCTGACCAAGCCAGTGCCATGCTTTTTGGACTTTTCTGCTGCAATTGTGAACCAAATTAACTATTTAATTGTGCCTAATATGACTGTGACTTTTCTACCTTTTTAATTTTCTTTACATTAATTAAGCTTTCTGTGAAGAGCTTTTCTTCATCAGCTGGGCTTTGTTCTCCTTATCACATCTTTACTAATGTGTAATTTTATAATTTAGGCCTTTTCTGAACATCTGTATAGAACAATACTCTAGCCCATCACCATATACAATCTCCATCTTCACATTTCTCCATAATGCCTGTCACCACCACCACCACTACCATTTATAAATCTTGTTTATTTTATTTATTGTATGCCCACTACTAAGCTTGAAGAGAGTTAGGGCAGGATTTTTTCCTTCATTTTCATGACCCCATACCCAGGAACACTGCCACAAAACAAATGAATAATATTTATCCAGCAGTATTTTAAAGCATGTTAAATTCTAGGAAAGATAATCTCTTGTGTACTATAAAAATGGAATAATAGGCCTCCTCACTGACACCCATGTTCAGGGGGTCTTGATCAGTTCCACCCCCTGAACATGGGTGTCAGTGAGGAGAACTAGGTAATCTGTTGAGCCTTGGGTAGTAGATCAGTATTTATCCCGGGTATACAAGTGAACTTTGGGCGCCCATCCAACAATGAGAGATGCACTCTTACCATGGATTCCCAGGGGAGGGTCTATAACAGACTATGGACATCCCCATGGAGGGCCTCACCCTCCCTGGGAAATGAGGGGATATTGGAGGGGTTGGTGGGAGGGCGTGGGAGGAGGGGAGGGAAAGGGAGAGGGACCTGGAATTGACATGTGAAGCAACCTTGTTTCTAATCTAAATTTAAAAATAAAAATTAAAAAATGTACAAAAAAGAATAATAGTATCAATTCTACAGTAGTGTATTTAGGATTCAAATGAACTTAAATCATACTCTTTATTTTTGGTTTTTCAAGACAGGGTTTCTCTGTATTGCTTTGGAGGCTGTCCTGGAACTCACTCTGTAGACCAGGCTGGCCTCGAACTCACAGAGATCCACTTGCCTCTGCCTCCCGAGTGCTGGGATTAAAGGCGTGCACCACCAATACCCGGCCTTAAATCATACTTTATGAATATACACATAAATATGTCTTAAGAGGTTTTGCATATATATATTATATAAGTATTTGCATGTGTATACACATGTACATGTGTGTGCATTTTATTTTATTGAGGCAGGCTCTCTTGCTGAATGTGGAGTTTGTCTATCCTAATTAGTCTAGCTAGCCAGCTTCTCATGGGGATTGCTGCCTCCCAAGTGCTAAGATTACAGGTGGGTCCCAAAGCATTTGCCTGGGTTCTGGGGATCTGTCATAGTTAACTTCTGTCAACTTGACACAAACCTAGAGTTATTTGGGAAGAGGGAACCTCAACTGAAGAATTGCATTGATCAGATTGGACTCGGACCATGTCTATGAGGCATTTTCTTAATTGCTAATTGAATTTATATAGGAAAAGCAACCCACTATGGATGATGCCATTTCTGCACAGGTGGGTCTGGGCTGTATAAGAAAGATATCTGAACATGAGCTTGGGTGCAAGCCAGCAAGCAGTCATTCTTCTATGGTCTCTGCTTCAGTGTCTACCTCCAGGTTCCTGCCTTGACTTCATTGATGAAAGATTAGATAAACTCCTTTCTTCCCAAATTGCTTTTGGTTATGGTGTTTGATTATAGCAACAGAAAGCAAACTAGGACAGAATCTAAACTCCAGTCTTCATGCTTATGTGGCAAGTGCTTTTTCCAATGAGCCATCTCCCAGCCCACAAGAAACCGTTCTGTTTGTCTTACAAAGACTTCAGCCAGCCCGAATGTCTCCCTAGGAGAAGGCAGTGTAGGTATTAGATCTCTTCATCCTGGATCTGTGTTTCAGCATGTGTCAGAGACGTTCCCACACCTCATTTTCTGTCATTTTTTACTTCTTCCTTTCCATCCCTTACCAGTCTGTCTAAGCCAAAACCCAGTGCTGTTGGCATTTTGACCTCCCTACCATCTTAGTCTCCTATTCTAACAAAGCGAGACCACATAACTTTGAAAACACTATACAGTGCTGTCAATGGAGCCAGACAAGCAAAACCCAAGTATACATCACTCAGTGTGCTTACTCACTGGACTCCTGGTTCTTCCTTCCTCATGCTATCAAAGAGCTCCTTTAATGTATTACTGCACTTGTACCATGAAAAGGAACCTATGGTTTAGAGGTTCAGGGCTTATCTCCTGGCAGTAGCAAGACATAGTATCAGAACCCAACCTTAACACCTATTAGGTGCAACATCTCTGAACCCAAGTCCCTTCATCTGCATACTGGATGGCCTGCCTTGTAGCAGTGTGATTAAGTTTTAGTGCAGTAATCTTGTGAAATGTTAGCCTGGTATCTTCACTGTTACCCCACACGCAGAAGCTCGGGAGATGATGGAAGAAGTTCAGCACAAGTGGGTCCTTCTGTGAAAAGCGTGTGGATAGGCTGCTTGTCCAGAACAGCCCTTGAGCAAGTTGCACAAGTTTTGAGAGATGAGTAGACCAGAAGGAGCATATGCCTTATCCAGCAGTATGGGTAGAAGTGGCGCAGTAAAATGGCAGAAGGAAAGACCTGGCATACTTAAAGGTAGAATGTATGGAGGGGCTTGGGCCAGGTCCAGTGTGTGCACACTGCACAAGAGCTCTAGGAGTAAAAGCTTTGCTCAGAGAAAAGCCCTGAGTTCACGCTTTACAGTGTATGAACTGTACATAAGAGTAATGCCCACTTCACAGTATTCTTTAGTTAATTGAGGTATATAGATATGTGTGTGTGTATTATATAAGAATAAGTAGTTATTTAATATTACAAAAATTTTCCAATATTTGAATTACTGTCTAAATTGATGAATTTTCTCTTGTGTAGGAACATGCTGTTTTGGACACTTAGATGTAAATGTCCTGTTGTTTGTTTTAATGCCAAGGACTTTGTGAGAACAGTACTACAGTTCTTTGGTGAAGATGATATTTGGAAACATGGTAAGCCACCATTCTCATTGTCTCTAAGATTTGGAAAGATGGTCAGACCACCATGTCACCTGCTTCAGGGCTCCTGGCCTCACAGACACTGTTTCTTCACCTGCCATGAGCAGGAAAAGGCACTTCCCCGATGTTTTTGGTTTTTACTTGCTTTGGTGACATAAGTAGTAAACAATGACTCATGAAGCACAGTCACAATGGGCTTTGTTATTACCACCAGTGGCTACACACACTAAAAATTAAACTACAGCACATATAGCATCAAACAAGGCAGAACATTTATTACCTTTAAGAAAGCAGGGATTATCCAGGTGTGGTGTCTGCCTTTAATTCCAGTACTTGGTAAGCAGAGGCCAGCAGGTCTCTTGAGTTTGAGGCCAGCTTGGTTTACAGAGAAAGTTCCAGGACAGCCAGAGCTACAAAGAGAAACCCTGTCTCAAAACAAAACAAAACAAAACAAAACATAAAAAAAAAGAAATAGAGTGTAGGGGGAAAAAACCCTAAACATGACAAAAGCATTCACTGTTGATGTTGTAATTTAAGAAAAGCAGCGTGTGAGAGAAGACAACATGTGACAGTTAAACAGAGGAATTTATTTTATTAGGGAAAGGGATCATAAAAAGGGGAAAGGGGACGGGGGAGACAGGCCTTCAGGGACAGGAGCAGCAGGAGAGCGGAAAGAGGGCCAGAGGAAGGGGAATGGAAGGTGAGCAGGCCTTTTTAAAAGGGAACATAATGAATATGCACAGGTGCTGTTAGCCGCTGCAGTTGAGGATGAAATTCTGTCAGAACCCAAGGACAAGCCAGTACAGATGCCTGAATACTAACAGTTGAGTCCTTGAGTTTAAATGTAAAATTTTTCCAAGTTGTCTGTGTTTTGAAATGTTGCTAATAAATTGTTGAGAAAATTATAATAAATTTCTAACACACACACACAATTGCTCATCACAGCCTGACAAAGGTTTGACATACAACTGACTTTCTCTTTCATTTTTCAAACTCTTCATTTTTCAAACCACTGACTCATCAGTATTTTGTAACAAATCTCAAACAACATAAGATTAAGCTCTAATATTTCAATTGTATGATGATTCCAGGTTCAAGACAATGTCATCAACTTCCCCCAGTGTGAACAGTAATCTTTTTGCATTACTAGGTGTCCTGACAGTATTCCAACTCCCATATTTGTCCTGTGATGCTCTCGGTTTTTTTCGTTTTTGTTGTTTTTGTGATGGTAGAAGATGTTGATTACCATTGTCTAGGTTCCTTAATTGCAACCTGGCAAGATCCAAAATCTGTTATACTTTCTCCATTTTTTCTTTTTCCATTTTCACATGTGTATGTTTGTATGTATGGAGGCACACATGTGTGAAGGTGCATGTACACATATATGCATGCATGTGGAAACCTAAAGTTGATGCTGAGAATTATATTTAATTAGTCTTTTACCTTATTCATTAAGGAATGGTCTCAGTCAAACCCAAAGTTGGCAGATGTGACTAGTTTTATTATCCAGTTTGCTCTGGAAAACCCCATCTCTTGCCTTTCTGAGACTGGAGTTACAGGCATGTTGCTACACATATCTGACATTTACACAGGTCTGAGAATTTGAACTTTGGTTCTCAGGCTTGCAAGGAAAACACTTTGACCATTGAGCTGTCACCCCAGTCCACCATTTTCTTCGTCCGTCCGTCCGTCCGTCCGTCTATCCATCCACCCACCCATCCATCCATCTATCTATCTATCTGGTTTTTCGAGACATGGTTTCTCTGTATTGTTTTGGAGGCTGTCCTGTAACTCGCTCTGTAGACAAGGCTAGCCTCGAACTCACAGAGATCCACCTGCCTCTGCCTCCTGAGTGCTAGGATTAAGGGTGTGTGCCACCAATGCCCAACTTTCTTCATTTATGAATTAGACTAATTCATCATCTGCTTAAGTGAACTTGAGATGGAAACTCCTAGATGGAAGTTTGGCTCTTTCTCTTTACTTAGTTCAGAATAATGAATTGCTTCACAGAGTAATTTTATCATGTAAAGCATGATGCAAAATACTTTTAAACTATGGTCATGGTGAACATGTGGTCTGGTTTTACTGCTTATTTATGTTAAGTATTAGTAATATATAAATAAGATAGACCTGACAGACCACTAACTCAGAAATTTGACAATAACTAGAAAAACCATTTAAATCAAGACTTTATAACAATAATCAAGTAATTATCTAGAACATATGTGATATTAACACATTTTATATATGCAGTTAAGTGTGACTATTTTTGTCTGCTAATTACAAGGTACAAATCATGTCATGCTAACTTACTGTATTTTTTGAAAAATAAATTTGTACTCCCACAGCAATGATTAAGTGTTCTCCTCTGCTGGCATCCTTGCCAGTGTATAGCCTCACTTGTTTTATTGATGTTATGCATTCTCACTGGAATAAGATGAAATCTCAAAGTTGAACATTTTTAGTGTTTCTCAGTCATTTGTGTTTCATATTTGGGAAACATTCTGCTTAGTGTAAAGATGGGAAAAGCAACAATTGCTTGTGATTTGAGAAAATACTAAGTAACCTTTTCCTCTGTAGTTGCAGGTTTTGTAGGACTAGATCCAAGAGTTGCTGCATGGCTCATAGATCCTAGTGACACTGCACCTTCGTTTGAAGATTTAGTAGCAAAACACCTAGAAAAGTCCATAATAGTCAAACAAAGCAGCACATTTGGTGATACCTCAAGAAATATTGTGGTAAGATGTTTAAGATGAAGTTCTATCTACTTTAATTCAACCCTGACTTTTTCTGCTTCATAGATAATCTAATAGTAACAAGATTATTTTCATTTCATTGTCCCATCCAAATCCTTTTGACTTAGGTATTTCTGGTAGAGATCAGTGAATAAAGTAGGAGGATATCCTGGAAAGTCTTATTTACAGTGTAATTCTCCTATGAATTCTCTAGTGTCAGTAGCACCTCCTCTGTGAGCAGAGAACTGTCCTTTTGTAAATCTTTAGCACTGGTGACATGTTCTTGGCTGACTTCCTGTGACCTCAGTCTAGGTAGAGGGCAAGCTGAGTTTCTCCAAGCCCTCTTGTGCTGGGGATGCCCCTAAAGGAGAGGAATAGGGGAGCAGTGTGGTCACAGCTAGAACCCTCTACTCAACCACATGGTAGAACACTGCAAGTGAGCATTCAGATGGCCAAATGCACAGCAGGAGACATGACAACCTGTACCTCCTGCCCTTTATCCTCTTAACTACCATGTGTAGAGCAAGAGTCTGTATCCCATAGGGATAGACTGTAAATACCAGAAACACTATATCCTTGAATTTAAAAAGAGGTATACTAGAAGGTCATGAAATAGATTACAGAATCAGAGAAGATAGAGTTCTTGCAAGAATGGGAATCTATGGGAATGGCAAGGCCTCCTAGAAAATTAGCTCCTTAGATGGGACAACAATGCAATGTGGGAAGGAGAAAGGGACTTTGAGATCCAGGTTCATGCAGGGCTCTCAGGGGCAGTGTTATGGTCAAGGAACAGGCCTGTCTTAGAATGGTTCAAACTGGAAGCTTGTGATCACTTTGGAGTTGAGAAAACTACAGGAAAGCATGTGGAATTGTTCTAGGTGTAGCATAGATGTGGTCCTCTGCCTCATGTCTCCTGTGTTGTTCATAGGAGGCAAGATCAGGAAATGACTGAAGAAGTATGTTAGCATATATCCAACCAGCAGCCACGTACTTTGAGTTTTTTCTAATGTGAGGGTTCAGCAGAGATGAATCTGAGCAGTCCAGAGTTTGGGGCTCTTTGGCAGAGTAGAAAGTCTTGAAGATCTCTGTTAGGAAGGACACAGACTGTGTTGAGGGGCTGCCTCTTATTCCATTTCCCCTCTCTGTCCTTTAAACATGTTTGTGGCTTCTCCGTGCTTTTCCATTTACCTGTTCTAGAGTGTTAATGAATAGGTTAGTGTGGAATATAGCACCTTTCAAGTGGTTGCTGTGTGACAGAGCAGAGAGGAGAGGTTGTGGGATCTGAGAATTCTTGTTCTGACTCTGCCAATCTTTTAATCATTGAAACAGGCATCAGGTTTATTTTTCTATCTGTACAATGAAGAAAAAATGCTGGGCTGGGGAAGTATCTTCCTGTTGACAGCCTACCTTGCACAGTGGAGGTACTTTTTGTTAGGGAACTTGTCAGGAGCATCTTACCATGTCACTAGAAACACTTTGTAAGTGATATCAGTTCTTAGACTGTTATGAGAATTGCTGCCAAGTTCATCTGAATTTTAATGTATTCATTTTAAAGAATCAGAATGTATATGCAAACCTGAGGATACTCTACGACCTCACGATGGATCTCTGTTCCAAGTTGAAGGCAAGGCAATTTTTATACTGTAATTTACGGCTATATAAGACCTGCATTTTCATTTGTACCCACACTCACATTTACACTTGGTGTTTTGAATATGAAGTGAGATGTTTTCCTAAGGCCAAATTAATCTGTGCCTCACTCAGAAAAGGAAAGACTAAAATGACAATTCCTGCAGTTTTAAAATGTGTTCTGTGGGCCAGGTGTTGGTAGCACACACCTTTAATCCCAGCACTCGGGAGGCAGAGGCAGGCAGTTCTCTGTGAGTTCGAGGCCAGCCTGGTCTACAGAGTGAGTTCCAGGACAACCTCCAAAGCAATACAGAGAAACCCTGTCTCAAAAAAAAAACAAACAAAAAATGTGTTATGTGTATTGAAAACAATTGCTTCAAAGCCTCACAATTAACTAGAGTGTTGCTGATGCCAAGGGTTTACTTTGGTTAGCAACAAAATGGACCCAATTTGTTTTACTTAGATTTTTATTGGGAAGCTGTAGCCAATGGAGGAACAACTGAAGAGAACTAAAGGATACTGGTGAGATGCTTCTAAGAACAGGCTATAGCTAGAGGATTTTCCATTCCTGGTCTCTAATGCAAGCTGCCTCCTTCTTCTCCTGCCCTAGGACATATGCCCAAACAGGAAAACTGTCTAAGAGTTGAGGAGGAGCCCAGGAGATACATCCTGGAGAGGATCCGTCTGCCTTAGGGTACAGGGACAGACAGAGAAATTGAGGGAAACTAGAAAAGAGTGAATATAAAGAAAACTCCAGTAAACATAATAGAAAACCAGGTGTGATGGACATGGTCTGTAATCCCAGGATTTAGGAATTAGAGACAGAAAGAAGTTCAAGGGCAGCTCATCTACATAGATAGTTTGAGTCCAGACTGGACTAGAAATAACATGGAAGGTGATATGAATAAAAGAGGAAAGATTTCATGCTCTTAAAACAGGTAGCCAAATATAAAAATTCTAACACTCCTGATTAGTCTGCAGAGCCAATACAAGATTGATGAAGACTAGGTAAAATTATTGGAATTCAGTGAACCATTCTGTAGTTAAAATGGAAGGCTAGAGCCACATAAATACTCCTCAAAGTGAGTATTCTCTGTAATAAAAATAAGAGTTTTATTAAAAAGAATGAAGGAGCTAGAGTGGTAGCTCAGCGATGAAGAACACTTACTATTCTTCTAGAGGACCTGGGGTTCAATTCGCAGCACCCACATGGTGGTTCACAACTGCCTGTAACTCCAATTCCATGGAATCTAGCACTCTAACACAGACCTATATGCAGGCAAAACACCAATGCACGTGAAATAAAATCTTTTTAAAAAATGAAGATAGTAGGAAGAACCACTTTGGACAGGGGTCACTTTAATCCTAACATAACAAAGTCAAGTAGCTTTTCAACAAAATGCAGACAATAATTTAAAACTATATTGATATTATTTCTTCTATAAAACAGGCTTATGGCTTATGGCAGCTATTTTGTACTTTGGAGCTTCCTTTGATACCAATTTTGGCAGGTGAGTTACCATAAAAGCAAAGTAATCATCTTACTGGAGAATCTTTACATTGTTTAGGAATGAATCTTCTCTATCCCATAATGGAGTGGTTACTGTATTTCATCCAAAGAGATTGCTATCATATTTTCTCTTCTGCAACAAACGGGTTTGGGCTACATCACCTCCTGGTCTGGAAGGACTTGAAGGCCTGGCATCTACCCATGGAGACCCCTCCTGTTCTCTCTAGCCACAAGGGGGTCTCACTGACATTTACCCACCTGTGTTATCTCAACTTTAGTTTTATCCTTTAGTTCTGTGCTCCTCTCTCCTAGCACTTGAGACCCTCCATTTAAGGACCCTCCAGTGATTTTGCCCATCTTTGCCTCTGACCAGGTTCTGCTGCAGGGCCAGGAGTGAGAATATGCAAAGGGCCAGGCTGGAGCCAGTTCAGTTCCACATTCTTCCTACCTCGGGACTAAACCCAGGACCTGACTTGTGTTGGGCAAATGCTCTGTTATTAGACTGTATCCCCAGCAGGCCAGTTCTTTCAATGCTTCTGTTTCCTCACAGAATAGAGATTGACTTAGAGTGGGGCCTAAGTAAATGAGCATTGCTATCATTAGGTCCTCAGAGAGGGGGGACACTTCAGTCTACTGAATAGGATTGATTAATGCAATGAAAATATGGTCTGCCTCTAATTTTGATTCACAGTGATGGAAAACCATAAGATTCCAGTTGACAAAGAAGAAATGGAGAGGACTTCGGCACTCCTTGGGGTAAGCTATTATTTCAGAATCTGTAATTATCATTGCTCTCATTAGATTCTTGTAATGAGCATTCTTTCCAACCAGCCTGGTACCAGAGCTGCGTCAACCCCAAATAATACACAGAGACTCTACTAGTTACAATGCTGTCAGCCAATGTCCAGGGTTTCTCAATGACTAGTTCTGTCTTAAGTATTAACCCATGACTACTAATATATATATATTTCTATAAGGTCTTATCTTTTTGAGGATGCCATCCCGACGTGTCCTCTCTTCCCAGGATATTATGGCAACTCCCCACTCTTGACTACATTCCCCAGAATTCTCCTCTACTCCTAGTCCCACCTATCTTGCTTCTTTATTGGCCAATGATGCTTTATTCATCAACCAATAAAAGAAACATATACACAGAAGGACTTCCCCCATCAGATTCTGATTTTCTTCCCTTCCCTATTGACCCTAGAGTATTGTTGATACTGTTCATTCTTCACCTGCACTCTAGAGGGGAAGACCATGTATTGAAGGGTTTACTGCTCATTGATATCTATTGTACTGTAGTAGTTTGAATAAAATGACCCCAATAAGCTTACATATTTGAAGCTTAGTTACCAGGAAGTGGCACTATTGAAAAGGATTAGAAGGATTAGGAAGTGTGGCCTTGTTGGAGGAAGTATGTACTGGGGGCCAGCTTTGAGGTTTCAAAAGCCCATACCAAGCCCAGTGTCTCACTTATCCTATGGATCAGGATGTAGAACTCTCTACAACTACTTCCCCATGTCTGACTGTGTATTACCATGCTCCTCACCATGATAATAATGGTCTAACCTCTGAAACTTTAAGCAAGCCCCCAATTAAATGCTTTCTTATATAAGATTTGCCTTGGTCATGGTGTCTCTTCACAGCATTAGAACAAGTGACTAAAAGCTGGGCGTTGGTGGCGCACGCCTTTAATTCCAGCACTCGGAGGCAGAGGCAAGAGGATCTCTGTGAGTTTGAGGCCAGCCTGGTCTACAGAAAGAGTTCCAGGACAACCTCCAAAACAATACAGAGAAACCCTGTCTCGAACCCCCCCCCCCCAAAAAATGAGGCTGGGTGGTGGTGGCAAACACTTTTAGTTCCAGCACTTGGGAGGCAGGCGGATCTTTGAGTTTGAGTCCAGCCTGGTCTACAGAGCAAATTCCAGGACACACTCCAAAGCTACACAGAGAAACTCTGTCTCAAAAAACAAAACAAACAGAATACTGAGTGTTACACAGCTCAGATGTAAAGGTATCCTGGAACTCGGGAGCCACAGAATACTGAGTGTTATACAGCTCAGATGGAAAGGTATCCTGGAGCTCGGGAGCCAAAGACTATTACCACAGGCCACAGTAAGCTTAGCTGCTTACAGCCCTGCCTCAGGGAAAGGCTTCCCCAGTGTATCAGCTCTGCTTCGGCAGGAGACGGTCTTCCAGATGGGGATGTTTGCCCAGTGTAGCAGTTTTGCTCCAGCAGGGGATTTCCCCAGCGAAGTTGCTACAGTTCAGCTCTGCTCCTGGGAAGCTGCAAAAGAAGATCTTCACTCAAAGCTCATCAAAGGGGTTTATTGGAAGGAAACAGCTAGACCAGCCAAGCTGAACATACACAGGGTTTATATAGGGATTCTTGGGGGCGGGGGAAGTTTTTCCAGGGTAGGGATTGGTCCGATTTCAATGCTGACCTCAGATTGACTAGAGATCCTACCCAAGAATTGGTTAGTTTTCTGCACAGGATTAGGGTCAGATTTGGCTCTGGTTTCAGGGCCAAATTGGTCCTTTTTAGCATTTTGGCTCCAATTTTAGGACCAGGGTGCATTTCTTTCACTGAATCTGATTCCAGGGACAAAGTGTGTTCCTTTGGCACTGGTTTCAGGGTCAGGGTACATTTCTTTGGTTCTGGTTTCAGGGCCAAAGTATGTTTCTTTGGCTCTGCAAAGGGTGTGTTTCTTTGACTGGTCCCTTTTCCCTACAAACACTTCAAACAGGGTTTAATGGACCATTCTAGTAGGAGCATGGGATACAGTAGTATTGAGTGCAATGCAAATTATAACAGCTGAACTCCAGCTTCAAAGGGGAAGATTATTAGCAAGTGGCCTAGAAATAATTCTTGTGATATTTTGGCAAAGAATGTGGCTGTTTTTTGCTCTTGTCCTAAAATTCTGCCTGAGGCTAAATTGGAGAGTTTTGGATTATTGGCATTGGCAGAAGAGATTTCAAGACAGCCTAGTAATGACACTGTATCATGTGGTTATTAGTAATCACTTTTTTGTACTTTTTGAGACAGGGTTTCTCTGTGTAACAGTCCTGGCTATCCTGGAGCTCACTTTGTGGACTAAACTGGCCTTGAGCTGACAGAGATCTGCCTGCTTCTGCCTCCCAAGTGCTTGGATTAAAAGAATGCGCCACCTCCACCCAGCTAGTAATAACTCTTATACAGATCTATAATGAAAAGGAGCAAGCTGAACAAAGAGAAATATAAACTATACAGTGTGAGGAAAAAAAGAACACCAGGAAAGGTGGAATTGGAGGCAATTTTTGTGCTCAAGGAGTTTTTTTAAAAAGCTTAAAGAAAAGCCTGATGTTAAATGAATAAAATGGTGACCTCAGGGCAAGACCCCATACAGCTAAGCTTCCAGTTTACTAAAAGGAATTAAAGGTTAAGCTGATGCAAGTGTAATTGAACAGGGGAACTTGGCAGCTTCAGCCACAGCCATGTATTTCTGGATTTAAAGTCAAGGGTACAAGTAGGTGTGGTGATATATTTATAATTTATTAAAGCTTGCCCGAGGATTCAGAAAGCAAAACCAGTCTCAAGCTATAGAAATCAGGCATTGGTAATACACACCTTTAATCCCAGTAGCCATAGAAGCCAGGCACACACCTTTAATCACAGGATTTAGGAAACAAAGGCAGATGGGTCTGAGTTCAAGATCACCCAGGGCTACAGGAGATTGAATCAGTCTAAAAGTGTAACAGAGCTCATACCTTTAATCCCAGCACAAGAGAGGTATAAAAGATAGGAGCAGGGTCTTCAGTAGTTAGTCTCAGAATTAGTCTCTAGTCACACTGAGGAGAGCATAGCAGTCTGAGTGAATCTGAGGAGCAGTGAAGTTGGGAGGAGTTTGAGGATCACCCCTTTGGTCTGAGCTGAGATAGAGGTAAGAGCAAGTGGCTAACTGCTTTGCTTTTCTGAACTTCAGCCTGAAACTTGAACCCCAATATCAGTCTCTGGGTCTTTTATTTATTGTGCTGCAAGAAAGGGTTGTGGAATCTCCCATAGCTAAGGAAAGTCACTGAGGACGGACATGTTTCAGGGGTATGCTTTCATAGAAGCCTTTTCTTAAAGCTGCGAAGGTGAAACCTGGATTGTGTTAGAGACCACAAGATGTTGGAAATGCCAGCATCATGGGATGCTAAATTGAGGACTGGGTGTGGAACCATCCCAAGAGAGAGAAATATGTCATAGTCAATAAGGCTAAAAGGAGTTGTAGATCTGAAGAGCTTTTTGACATCAGACATGGAAATGCAGAACTGGTTTTCAGTCTTGCTCTGGTCCAGTACTTGCTCACTATGATCCTTTCCCTCCCTTTTGGGATGCTAATGTATATTCTGTGCTATCATATATTGGAAGTATATGATCTACTTTTTTTTTTTTTGCTTTTACAGGGGATTACAGTTAAGAAATTTCCATGAGTCTCAGAGACTTTGAATTTTGGACTTTTAAACAGTGTTGAGATTATAACAGACTATGAGGACTTTTGAAGTTGAACTGAATTAATTGTGCTTTATGATATATTTACAAGCCTATGGGAACTAGGGAGAGGAATGTGGTAGTCTGAATAAAAATCGCCCCAACAGGTTCATATATTCAAATGCTAAGATACCAAGGAGTGAAACTATTTTAAAGGATTAGAAGGACTAAGAAGTTATGGCCTTATTGGAGGAAGTATGTCATTGTGGGTGGGCTTTGAGATTTCAAATGCTCATGCCAAGCCAATTGTTTCCCACCTTGGCCTGTGGATCAAAAGTAGAACTCTGAGCCAGGTGACGGTGGTGCATCCTTTAGCCCCAGCACTTGGGAGACAGAGGCAGGCAAATCTCTGAGTTTGAGGCCAGCCAGTTCTATAGAGTGATTACCAAGACAGCCAGGGCTACACAGAGAAAACCTGTCTCAAAAAGAAAAAAACCCACATTAAATGCTTTCTTTTGTGAAAGTTGCCTTGGTTATGCTCTTTACAGCAACAAAACAGTGACTAAGACACATACTCATATAAAGGGGAGCAAGCATTGTAGTGTGTGTGTGTGTGTGTGTGTGTGTGTGTGTGTGTGTGTGTGTGTGTGTATGTGTGCGTTGGGGGTCTTGAGTGGGCTATTGTTGTGGGATATTTTGATCACACTGTGATACTCTAGACTGTCAATATAGTTTACCTTGAATCAGGGGTGTAGTCAGCAACTAGCTGACTGGAATTAGCCTTAGAAAAGCCAGAAATTTGGATAGAGAAGATGCACAGGAGGGAAAGGGTAGAGACTGGAGTTTGATCTTCCTTTTGATTCTGGGATGAGGAAAGAGACACATCTCTTGTGATGTCTCTGCCCATAAAGGAAGGTCAGCTGGTTGTTTCTCAGCTTCTCTGATCTATCAGGTTTTCACTGCCCCCCCAATATCTGACTTCTAGGTCTTTATTAGTAAATAGAATGATGGAGACTTAATTTAAACCTTCATAGACCTTCATAAACCAGGTTGTGGAACCAGAAGTCTGCAAGGCTGTGGCCTGAGTGACCGGCAGAGCACTGACTGTGGGGTTGTGGGGCCACAGGTAATAATTAAAATATCAGTATATTCATGTGCAGCCACTAAGCTGATGGAAAAATGCGTTTGGTGCTCTACCATGGCATGACCAGACAGACAGAGAAGTTTTGCCCGCTGGCACCACCATAGTTTCCACTTAGGTCTCTCTGAGAGCCACTCACAGGGCCTGTGCTTGGAAATTGTGTGAGGGGCTTGAGCCTTTCCCTGATGGTGCTGTTGCTACATAAAAACTGAGAAGTCAACAAATTTGGTGAGACACTTGGTAAGTCCTTAAGGAAAGAACTAAATAATATTAAAAAGAAAAATCTTTCCCATGTTAAGAATTGGCATTATCACAATATAGGGAGTTAGGACTCTATATAGTGCTACTGCAGATGGCTTGCAAATGGAAAAAAATGAGATAAACCACTTAGCTGGGATTGAAATAATGACGATTGTAATTACTACTAGTTTGGTAATTCATATTTTTTCCTTTAAAAAGTGATTTGATAACTGTGCCAAATACGAAAATTTGACTGATAAAATACAATCCTTAGAAAGACTTAGTATTCATAAGATACAGACTAAAGGAAGTAATAAAAATTCGACTGATAAGATATAAATCTTAGAAGGACTTCCTGTTGATAAGATACAATCCTTAGAAAGACCTACTACTGATAAGATATAAACCTTAAAAAGATCTACTAATGAGAATAAGAAAAATACCCAGACACAGACAGAGAAATTAAGAGCAGAACCTACCATACCATTGCATTATGAAACTTAAGAGGAGTGGCTTAAGGTTACTAGAAAACCAGCCTTAATTCATCCATTTACCATACAGGAATAGCCACCAGACGACAGTTACCCCCAAGGCTATACAGAAGTTAATTTGGATCCTGTAGAGATGCTAGACTTGAGAAGATTTAAGGAAGCAGTAATTTCATATGGTAGGCATTCACCCTTTATGGAGCAGATGTTAAATTCACGGGCAACTCAGAACAGAATTATTCCACAAGACTGGAAAGATTTAGCTGCAGCAATAATGGAAGCTGGTACTTGGTTACAGTGGAAAACATGATAAAAGACAGGGTCATAGAACAAGGAAGTAGGGATAGAGGTATGAAATTTTCCAATACCAGCTTCTCGATAAATGCCAGTACTCTAATTTGCAAAAACAGATTACATTTGATGATCACACCTTGGCCCTACACCATATAGCCACCTTGAAACCTTGGAACAGGGTTGAAGAATATAGAAAGGGGACTTAGACATTTACTAAAATTATGCAAGGCCCAAAAGAAGCCTTCAATGATTTTTTTTAACAAAGATTGACTTCAGCAGTAAATAGAATGATATCAAATCCAGAAGTTAGACAAATATTAATTAATCATTGGCTTTTAAAAATGCTAATTCATGATGCAAAAGGGTTATTAGGCCCTTAAAGGCAAAATCAGTACCCAAAGATAAATGGAACCAAAATACAGCTGATAATGGATCTCACACTTAAGATGATACTTGAATAGGAGAAGTGATTTTTTTAAATTTCAAGAAAAATCAAAATGTCAGATGTTTTAATTGTGGTAAGCAAGGTCATTTGAAAAGGTATTGTAGGTAAGGTGTTCCTAGGAACAGTGGTTTTTGTTTTGTTTTGTTTTGTAGAGATAATCCAAACAGAAGGCCTCAGCCTTCTGGATTTTACAGAAGGTATAATAAAAGTTGGTGTTGGACTGATGAATGCAGATCAACAAGGGACAGGCAAGGTAACCCTTTGCCATTGGAAAACACACTGAGAGGCCACCCACAGGCCCTAATACCAGATTTGGTTCAATCACTCTCTGTCAGCATCAGAGAAACTCATCCCCAAAGCAAAGACTTAATATAAAAACCACACTGCTCTGGATGTGAACAAGACAGAACAGCTTCAATAAATACAACAAAAAGTTCAGGAGAGACCAGAAAACACATATTTTGGCAAACTGCTATAAATGATCATTGACAAAAACTAAAAATACAAATAAATGGCATTGAAATTGAGGGTTTTATAGACATAGGAAAGATATGACAATAATTTCACCAAAATCCTGGCATCCAGATTGGCCTCTTCAGGAGGTAAATGCTCAGCTTCTAGGGATTGGAACTTTATCTCAGGTAAAAACAAAGTACAAGATGGGTTCAGTGTATAGGGCCAGAAAGACAGATATGAAAATTAAAGCTATATGTGTCTAATATAACAATGAAGTTGTGGAGACATGATTTGTTGCAACAATGGAAAATACAGATTAACATTCATCCAATCTCAGAAAAAAACCCCAAAAATAAAGAATGCTTCTGAGAGGAATATTAAAAGGTATTGTCAAGAAAAGTCACAGACTGTTCAGATTATACATAAGCAGAGCACAACAGGTAGGTACCAGTATCCCTACCTTTAAAATGGTTAACTGAAAAACCTGTGTGGATGGAACAATGGCCTTTGAAATTAGACAAATTACAGGCATTATAACAGCTGGTTCAGGAGAATCTAGATATTCAACATATTGAAGAATCAACTAGTCCTTGGAATTCTCCTATATTTGTCATTAAAAAGAAATCTGGAAAATGGAGAATGTTAACAGATTTAAGAGCCATAAATAAGGTGACTCAGTCAATGGGATCTTTAAAGCCTAGGATTCCCTTGCCTTCTTCATTAGCTAAGAGATGGTCTATTATATCTATATTATATAACTTTTTTACTATACCTGTACAAGAACTCAGGATAGAGAAAATATTGGCTTCACAGTACCTACTTATCTTAATTCCCAGCCTGTTCAAAGGTACCATTAGAAAATTCTTCCACAAAGAATGTTAAATGGTCTCACGTTATATCTATCAATATTTTGTACAATAGCCATTACAACTAATTTGTAAACAGTTTCCTCAATATATAATTTATCATTATATGGATGATATTTTACTGGATAATTCAGATGCAGATACCTTAGAAAAAATGTTTGATGAAACAAAGAGAATTTTGCCTTGTTGGGGATTACAAATTGCTCCTGAACAAATACAAAGAGGAGATTCTATTAATTATTATGATATAATTTAGGTTTACAGAAATTCAATCACAGAAAGTACAAATCAGGAAAGATCAGTTATAAACTCAGTTATGATTTTCAAAAATTGCTGGCTTCTCTATGGCTAATTCTGGCCATCTAGCCAATGGCTCTGCTCCCTGATTCAAGGTAAACTTTATTGACATTCTGGAATGTCACAGAGTGATCAAAATATTCTATAGTATGCCATCAAAGACTAGACTAATTCAGACTGTTTTTCTTGTGTGGACATTTGCTCCCTACAGTTCACTCAAGGAATTGGTAAATTTCCTAAAGAATGAAAAATATGGAAAGATACATAAAGATATACGAAAATATTTTTAAGTCCATCTAAATTACCCAAAAGATAACTCTAGTATCCATCACCCAGGCCAAAGCATGGGATATCCACAGCCTTATGTGCTTTTCCTGGCAGAGTTATTTTTGTTTCTTTAAATTTTGACTATGTTTAGGGAAAGATGGTTTATCAGCCTGAAAATTCCACAAGTCATTATGTATGCTTTTAAATGTTCATTTTGATAAGTTATAGATGACTTTTTATTCCATTAAGGGCTTTTGTTGAAAGTTGCTTGATGAACAGATTAAATTATTTTAAATCATACAATCTATGAATGATAATGTTTCAATTTTTCAGGCTCGCCTCAAAGAACTGGAGCAAGAAGCCCATTTTGTTGCAGGAGAACAGTTTCTTATAATGAGTAATAACCAGCTTCGTGAGGTAAGGCTCAATTTCATTTGTTTTGTTTGAGACAGGGTCTCATTATGTATCCCAGACTTGCCTAGAACTCAGTCAGTAACCCAGGCTGTACGCTTCCTCTAACCCATGACAGTCCTCCTGACTCATCTTTCAGAGTACTGAGATTACAGCCAAGGGCAACCATACCTGACTGGTAATGTTAAATTTTGCCCTTTAAAAAGATTGTTTTACTTACGAATTAAAAAGATGGTTTATTCTGAATTTACAATATTGTCTGAAAATGGTATGTTATTCACGTTCTCACAGGTAATGAAAATTTTTAGATACATTAAGTCAAAGATCTTATGAATGAGGAACTAAGCCTCTTTTACTGTCTTTTCAATGTATGTCTTCAGATCAGTGACTGCAGCTGTGATGGTTATATTCATTTTCTCAAATCTGGATCTTTTTCACACATGTGCACTGCTTTTATTGAAGATCCTCTTTGGCAAATTGAAGCTGCACTTGCTGAGTCAGAGGAAGCATCTTCCCAGAACTGGGCTGCAGAAACAGCTGTCCACATCAGAGGCCATGGTAAGTGTCTAGCTTCCTTGTCTTACTGACATGCTCATGTATCTGCACCAGGTACAAAATTCCTTCTGTGCTGTCAGCAGGCCCTGTAGACAAGGTATTCCTACTCAAGATTACTCTCCTGGCTGTGCACCAGGATATGGGCAGGTAGCTGCCCTCCAGGAACATCTGGCTGGCTATACTTCTGGCAAAGGATAATTTTGGGCAGTGTGTGTGTGTGTGTGTGTGTGTGTGTGTGTGTGTGTGTGTGTGTGTGTGTGTGTGTGTGTGTGAGAGAGAGAGAGAGAGAGAGAGAGGGAGGGAGGGAGGGAGGGAGGGAGAGAGATAGAATTTGTGTGTGTACATATTTGTGTGTCTGTGCACATGACTATAGGTGTTCATGGAGACCTAGAGAGAAAGTTGGATCCAATGGAGCTGAAGTTTCAGGCAATTGTGAGCCACTCAATGTGGGTTCTAGGAACTGAATTTGAGTCCCTTGTAAGAGTAGCAATCATTCTTAGCCACTGAGGCATTGCTCTAGTTTCTGCATCTGACTTTTTATGTAGCTTCTGGGGGTTCTAACTCAGGTTGTTAGGCTTGTTAACAAGTACTTTCATCCATTCAGGTATCTCCTTGCCCAGTGTTTTGTTGGTTTTGTTGTTGTTTTTTAGTTCAAGCAATTTTTTAGTATTTAGAAGAAACCAGAGCAGATAAGCTGGAAATCTCAGAAGCTGTCAGAAGGAAGAAATAAAACCAGGCTTTTTGAGTTAGGCATGGAGGTCAGCAAGCAGCCAAATAGCAGACAAGTAGTCATATGGCAAATGGATAATTTTACTTTTTCTGTCTCTGTTTCATTTTCTTTTTCCTTTTTCTTTTTCTCTTAATAATCTAAGTAAAGACTCTAGGCACTATACTGATGAAGAGTTGTGATAATAGACACTCTTATCTTGCTCTGATTTTAGTGTAATGTTAGCTATAAGTTTTTCATACATGATCTTTATTATGCTGAGATATGCTTCTTCTGTTCCGAGTTTATTGAGAGTTTTTATCATAAATAGATCTTGAGCCTTATCAAAGGCCCTTTCTGTATCTATTGACATAACCATGCGATTTTTATTTGCTACTTTGTAAGATATTTGTATCCCTAAAATGGAGCCAACTTGATCATGATATTTCAATGTGTTGTTGAACTTGGTTTGCAAATATTTTATAGAATTTTTGTGCTGTGTTCATCAGGGAATCTGTGGTTTTATTGTTGTTTTTGCTGCTCTTATTCTGGTTTCAGTATCAAGGTAATACTAGTTTCACAAAATGAATTTTGTAGTATTTGTTCCATTTCTGATTTATGGAACAGATTGAAAAGCATTAGTTAACTCTTCTTTAAAGGTTTGGCAAAATTCTATAGTGAGTTCAACCTACCTTGAACTTTTTTTTCTTTATGTGTGCATTATGTATTATATGGTGCATGCATGCCAATGTGAAAATGTGTGCTATGTGTTGTTAAGAGAAGCTTTTTCTTGCTAGCCGCTTTGGTATATCCCCTGCCAGTTGCCTAGGCTCTGCCACTTTGTAGTCCCCAAATAAACACACAGGAGGCTATATTAATTATGAAGCTGTTGGCCTTGCTTGTTTCTTACTGGCTAGCTCTGACTTAAGTAATTACCCCATAATTGTTAATCTAAGTATTTCTCTTACCAGAGAACAGCCGGGCTTCCTACCCCATGGCGGTTACATCTCGACTCTCTTGTGTTTCTCCTACCCAGAATCCTTCTGGACTCCTAGTCCCTCCTATCTATATTCCCTATTGGCCAGACAGTGCTTTATTGACAAATGCACAGGACTTCCCCAACATCTCCTCTTTTCTGTTTAAACAAAAAGATCTTAACTTTAACACAGTTAAACTGTATATAACAGAACAGTTATCAAATAAGAACATAGTTACAATATTTTAGCAAGATTTAAAGAAAATATCATCCATCCCATTCTTGTGAGTCCATAGTTCTATATGTAGCTTATCTTTTATCATAACTAAGGAAAACTATAATTATAACTATCTATCTTCAACTCCATCAAAGACCACAGAAGGATAATATATAAACACTAGGATTGACAGAGACATCTTACTGCCTGGACAGTCACCCGAAGTTCCTCTGTAACGTTGGGGCATCCATCTTCAGCCCATAGGCCACAATGTGTCTGGAACACTTCTCAGCAAAGCAGGAAATTTCAAACTGTCCATCTGCATTAGCAGTCTGTCAGTCATTTTTCTGTGTCCTGCAGAAAGTCTGGTAGACTCTTCCATGAAGCAGGAACCCTGTAAGACTGAGTTCAGCAGTCACTTTTCTGTGGGCCCTGCATGTCCAGATTATACAACAACAGTCAAACAGTCTAGGTAAGAGCAGTTTCTTGCCCAAATGGCTAATCTTGCCATGTTGAAAGCAAACTCCATAACGAGTTTCTTCGGTGCCCATCTCAGACGTAATTGGTGCTGTCAGGAGCAGACATTTCTAATTGTCAAGAAAAACCCTAAACCATTTTAAATACCATTTTCTGAAGGTCTTTGAAAGGTTTGAAGACTATCTATCTCAAATATATTTCTGTATATCTAGAAAACCTAACTTACCTAACTATAAATTCTATTATAAGTAACTATCTATAGTCTGTATTCAATTATGCATTACATTTTAAAAGATCAGTATAAGCACAATACTTAATCAAGAGGAGAAATATACATATCACAAAATTGACCTTGAATTTGTATCAATAAATGAAAAACAATACCCATACCATAATTCCCCTTTTTACCATTAATAAGAGATCGGCTGTGATCATTAGCCAATTATAAACAATCCCATTTAAATGAAAACAAAGATTTATAAACAAGATGGGAATTAGGACGTCGCTCATTCCAAACTGCTTCATGCTGGAAGGGGGCGCTGTTTATACCATGGGGATCATGACAAAACTCAGAAACCTGTATAAGTCCTTATTTTCGTGGTCTGTAAAGCTGCATCATCTTAGCTGTTTCAGTTGTTGGAACACCTGGGCCACTGCTTCCGGGGGTCTTGGTTCGTCAAACCACAGAAGCCTGGAAGGAATCCTCAGCTTTTCATTTTCTGTAGAAACATAAGTAAAATCTCCTTTCCCAAGTAACATATCCTTATACTTAAATTTTGAAGTCAAGGCATTTTCAAAAGATAGAAGTTGGATTAATTCAGCATTTATAATCAAGTGTACTTTAGTAGCTGTTCCTTCCTGAGCAATCAAAATACTGAAAAAAACAATAGCGTACAGTATCCAGACTCTCTGTGTAGTTTCCATCTTTACGTGGCTTATTTATTGATCTATTATTATGTTATTTATTTTACTTTTATTTTTCTCTGAGACAGGGTTTCTCTTTGGAAATCCTCCTGCCTCTGCCTCTGGACTAAATCCTACCGGCGTGTGCCACCACAACACCAGCTTTTCTATTTATTTACCACTTTGATGTTTCATTTTTTCTCTCAATCTCACGTATATTTTTAAACACACTGTAAACCTTTAGAGGTTTTGTTCATCCAAGTCTGACTTTACTGTAAATCTTTATGTTTTTCTGGCCATGTGTCTTATCTGTAAAACCATGGCTGTTTTTAAACTGACTTTTTTTTTTTCAAGATGGTGGGCATAAGCGTGATGCCAGCTTACCGCCTCAGTCCATGCTGACATCCAGCAAAATCTGCCACTTCCAGCTGTACGTACACACCTTTCAATCATTAGCAGGGTCTCTTAAAACAACCCTGCTGGGTTTTTTTTTCTTTTTATGCCGAGTCAGGAAGACTCTGGTAAGCGAGCCACGTGAATCTCGGCTTGTCGATAGCAAAACAGAGCCCACCTGAGAAAATGCTGCTACCAAAAATCTGTGCTTCTCTCCATTCTTTTGTTTCTAAAATTCCTTTAAATCTTTTGTTATTTTGCATGGAAATTCAATCCCGCTCCTGACAACCATTTTGTTAAGAGAAGCTTTTTCTTGCTAGCCGCTTTGGTATATCCCCTGCCAGTTGCCTAGGCTCTGCCACTTTGTAGTCCCCAAATAAACACACAGGAGGCTATATTAATTATGAAGCTGTTGGCCTTGCTTGTTTCTTACCGACTAGCTCTGACTTAAGTAATTACCCCATAATTGTTAATCTAAGTATTTCTCTTACCAGAGAACAGCCGGGCTTCCTACCCCATGGCGGTTACATCTCGACTCTCTTGTGTTTCTCCTACCCAGAATCCTTCTGGACTCCTAGTCCCTCCTATCTATATTCCCTATTGGCCAGACAGTGCTTTATTGACAAATGCACAGGACTTCCCCAACAATGTGTGCACATAAATGGGCCAGAAGAAGAACTATAATTCTTGAACTTAGTACCTTGAGACATGTTTTCTCACTGAATCAGGAAGCTCACCATTTCTGCTAGGCTAGCTGGCCAGAGAGCTCCCAGAATCCACCTGTCTCTGCCCCCAGTACTGGGATGATAGGCACACACAGCCATGTCTGGCTTCTTATGTGGATGCTGGGATGTTGACTTTAGTTCTTCGTACTTGTACAGGAAGCACTCTTATCCATTAAGCCATTTCTCCAGCTGCCCTTCCTTTTTGAGTTTTTCTTGGATGGGAGATTCTATATCACTGTTTCAATCTTATTGCTTGTTATGAATCTGTGTGTTTATATCATTTTAGGTTTGTTTGGGTAGGTTGTATGTATTTAGGAATTTATCCACTACTTCTAGAGTTTCCAGTGTTTGGGGATATAAGTTTTCAAATTATTCCCTAATGATCCTCTGGAACTTATATAAATTCCCCCTTTTCATCTTTTAATTTTCATTTCTTTTGACTAGTTTAGCTAAGGATCTGTCAATCTTGTTTATTTTTATTTGTTTTGGTTTTTTGAGACAGGGTTTCTCTGTGGCTTTGGAGCCTGTCCTGGAACTAGCTCTTGTAGACCATGCTGGTCTCAAACTAACAGAGCTCTGCCTGCCTCTGCCTCCCGAGTGCTGGGA